GCAAGGATCTTCGTGTACCGATTGCTGGAGAGGGCTCATGAGGGGGGCCCCTTGGCCCGCATCAGACAGTATGTCGACGATGTGCACGCGCGTGTGGAGGGGCCAAGGAAGTTGGTGCTGGACCAGACTAAGACGGTCACATGTGAGCTGGTGCAGGGCATGCTGGACTTGGGTCTGCGAGTCTCTCCCAAGTCGCTGCTGATGATGACGAATGCTAAGGATGAGTTGAAAGTCCAGCGGCACGTCCTGCGGGCCACTGGTACCAAGATCAAGCGCGCCAACTGGGCCAAGGACCTTGGGGTGGGCTGCTCCATGGGACTCAAGCGGGCGACCAAGACCACCAAGAGCCGGATGACCACGGCGCAGGCTCGAGCCACGCGTACAGCCCTATTCAGGCGAGTCGGTCGAGGTGGCAACAGGTCCAAAGGAGTCATGCTGCACAACACCAATATCAAGGCGAAGTTTCGATATGCAGATCACGTCCTGGGTGTGGCACCGTCTGAGATGACGCGCAGGCGTGCCCAAGCGGCAGACTTGGCAGGGCACACAGTCGGCGGTAGATGCACGGCCTCTGTCCTACTGCTACACTACCAGGACGACGACCCCAAGATGAGCGTGGTCATGGGCCAGGTCAAGCAGTGGTTCCTGTTCTGGGAGGCTCATCCAGAGCTACGAGAACGAGTTCGACAGGGGTGGCGAGAGGTGCTGAGGAGGCTGATATACATGCGCCCCCGCTCCAGGTGGCGGAGCGTGACGGGCCCGATGGGGGCTCTCATCCTGATGCTGCGCGAGCTGGGCTGGACCCCGCGAGCTCCAGACCACTGGATAGACGATCAAGGGAACGTGTGGAAGCACATGGGCGATGCCGCGGACAGCTACGACGAGCTGTACGAGGCTCTGTGCGCCTCCGTCAGGCGCGACCTCTGGCAGCAGGCTGGCGATCATCCAGCAGGGCAGGGGCTGCATGAAGGAGGCGACATGCACATGCTGCGCGTCAACCTGCGTCGGCTTCGGCGCCAGGGCCGACATCGAGAGGCGGGTGCGCTGGAGGCGAATGCTCTGGCGTGCATCTGGACGAAGGCTCGCGCCAAATCCTCAGGCTACAAAGGTGATGATGAGTGCCCGAGGTGCAAGCTTGGAAAAGACACGATTGCTCACAGATTGTATGAGTGCCATGCGAATGCCAACATTGACCATGAGTGGGTTTCCCGAACTGAGTCGCTGTGTGAGCAAGCCTTGAAAGATCTGAGTGAGGGCAGGAATGTAGGCTTCTGGACTCGAGGGATCGTTCCCCCGTCTTGGAACCCAGTGCCACCGCCCCCCGAGTGGAACTCTGGACTAGGCCAAGAGGTTTGGGCTGTAGGGTTTCCCCCTCCTGACATCGACTCCTCCTTTGATGTCCTCCCGTCTTCCACCTTCCCCCTCCAGGCGCAGGTAAGCTTCCTTGACGGCTCCGCCACGTCCAACGATGCCCGAGTGTGCCGTGTTGGATGGGGGGTTTACTTCCGTGTGGAGGGCGAGGCGGAGCTGGACGTGGAACAAGGGGTCCTCCGCGGGCTTTTTGGGACCATTGATGGACCTCAAACAGTGCCCGCTAGTGAGCTTGCCGCGTTGTTTTGGGCCCTAAGGTCACCAAGGGGCCCATAGAGCTGTGGTCCGACTGTGCTCTTGTCTTTGAAGGCTGGTGTAAAGGCTTCGCCTCCGCTCCGCAAGGCCCGCTGATTCGTTGGTGGTCTCGGGTGAGAGCGGCCCTGCAGAGCAGGGGCGAAGGGCAGGCTGTGCTTAGGAAGTGTTTTTCGCACCTGGATGTAGATTCCCATATGCAAGTAGGGCAGGATCTGAAAGTCTCTCGGGGAAACGAGATGGCCGATCAGCTGGCACAACGAGGTGCTGAGGCCGCCGCCGCCCCAACCCGTAGTGCCATCAAAGCTCTCAACATTGCAGATGCCAGAGCCACCCTGGTGCATCAGAGGATGGGGGCGATTTTGGCCCACGTCTGCTCTGAACTTGATCGGGGGGACCGTGGGGAGTTCGGTGGGTCGCTCGGTTCGGAGTCGGGGCTGTCGAAGGTGGGAGAGCTTGAGGCCAAAGCTGGCCATCAGATGCAGCGTCTCACAAACGGACTGTGGTCTTGCAGGCTTTGCCGTCAGACCCCAGGCCGTTTTTCCTTGGAAGAGTGGCTCCAGGCGAACCAATGCCCAGGAGCAGGGGCACCATATCAGAGTCCCCCCTACGAGTGTGCATGTTCTCAGGGTGGGCGATCGAGTCGTCCACAGCTCACATTCTATCGCGATGCAGAATGGTTTAGTGTGGTGCTGGAAGTGCGCTAGATTCGGGACAGTGGTCCAGGGTGGGGGCCATCTGCGTGAGCTGGTCAACCTCTGTCCCGAAAAGCGTACCGAATCGGGACGCAACTATTTGAACCGTCTGAGTCGAGGTCTCCCCCCCAGGGCTGGCAAGGACTGGCCTATCCCCCAAGGCGCAGGTGGCGGCAGAGCGCCACTGCCCGTCGTCGGCTCGAACGTCAAGGACTTCCGACGGCGGCGGGGAGCTGGGGGGGGAGGATCGAGAGGGTTTTAACGATTGTGTGTAATCGTTTTGTACACCGAGGGGGTGCGTCACGGACGCATCCCCCTCTTGAAGAGTTATCCTAGTTATCCTCCTCCTCCTCCCCTTCCTCCTATTCCTCCTCCTCCTCCTCCTCCTCCTCCTCCTCCTCGAAGTTCAGAGTTTGGGAACCATTTTGCTGGTCCCCAAGTGATTTCCAGCTTTGGAGTGCTTTCCAGCGAATGCGAGAGGCGCCCAAGACGAGGCCGCCGCCGGGAACGGCGCGCCGGGACGAGGTCCTTCTGATTGGGGGCCTGGCGACCTTGATCGTTTCACGCATTTCGGCATCTTGATCTCTTGCCCACACGCCAGACGGTGTATGGCGTGTGAGTGAGTGTCATGAACGCCTGCTAGTTTCCACCCAGCTGTTCCCGAATCGGCCGCCCTTTCGCGGGCATACAGATCTGACCTTGAAATCGTCGTCGGTTCCCCGACAATTCTCCTGTCTCGGGATGCTTTTCAGCGGCTGCGCCTCGTCGAGTGTGTTGGGGCACCCCCCAGATTGTCCCGAACGGTCGCAAGAAAGCCGAGTTATGTCCCGAAAACCACACAACTATCAAAATGCTACAGATCGTGCGTTTTGCTGTGACTTTTGTCTCCGAGGCCTGTTTTTGAATCCCCAGGGCCATCAAGAATGGGCCGAGCGAATTTCTGGCCCCAGAGATGGGTCGCGACCTGTGGGGCCGCGCCCTGTGGTAGGCGATCGAGACACGGTGCAAGCCGAAGGCAGGGTGAGGACAGATCTAAAGTGCGGAGCGCGCCAAGGGCGGCGCACGAGTCGCCGCCCTGGGGGGCCTAGGGCCAATCCAAGACATCCGTGCAGACCTACCACTGCGCGTGTCGCTTGTCGTTCCTCAAGACGGCGACCGACGACGACGGCGACGGAGACGCCCACGACAGCGATGGCCGGCGGAGGCCGGAGACGGCGATGCATCGGCGATGTCGTCGTAGCCAAAATCGGGATCCACATCGAGCCACATCGCCGATGCATCGGCGATGCGACGCGATCCACCGACCCCATCTACTCAGACCCCATTCGAAAGCGCGACCGTATGATACGGTGAGGTCACGTCCGCGAACAACAGAATTTGGGATCACAAGCGTTGGTGATTCGCCTCACACTGCCTTCGGGGGTGTCAAGCGCAAATTCGCCACAAGATGGCCTCCAGATGGCCCAGGAGGCCTCTGGAAGGGAAGTCCACCATCATCATCCCTACAGGCCCTCCGGCCGAAGCCGTACATGCCGCCACGCTGGTCCCAGGCAGGCTGTGCCATGCTGCCCGGCGGAAGGGGACGAGGAGGGGAGAAGCAGGCAGACAACAACGAACGCCCAGGAGGGAGGCTGGGGCCAGTGGGGCGGGCAGGCAGGCAGAAGAGGGGCCAGGCGGAGACAGCAGGCGGGGAGCAGGAGGAAAGGAAAGGAGGGAAGGAGTGGGAGATGCTGGCCCCCAACCAACGAGCCTCCTGGGCCATCAGAGCCTGAAACTTCAGCCTATGACGCCTCCCAGATGTCTCCCAAGACGGCTCAATTTGTGTGACCCACACGGGGGTCCAGCTGCAAGGGGGTGGTGCAATAGATTTGGGGCAAGTGTATTGCAAATGTATTGCGCTGGAGAATTGTATTGCAACTAATGTATGGCACGCGAATTGCCTCTCTGGCGTGTTGCAGCGCTTCTTGAACTCAGAAGGGATGCATCACGCTAGAGAGGCCTGGACCAGCGTTGCCCCAGGTCCAACGTTGAAGAAAAGGCCAGGACGAAGATAAAACCGGGTGAGGAGAAATCGGGAATCTCTGAGATCCGGCTTCCCTGGAGGATGTCTCGGGCGCCGCGGTCTTCTCAGAGCGTTCCGGGACGCTCTGAGAGCGATCGAGAACGCTTTGGAACGGATTTGTCCTCGTGCTAGCCCCGCCTGATGAGGCCTTCCGAGACGACTCAAGAGAGGCTGCAGCACGCAAAAGTTGAGTAGGGGATGGACTACAGAATTGACTTACCCCAGAATTGATTTTCAAGTCGAATCCATGAAAAATGCGTAGAAGGCGAGGAGCACTCGAGGCGCTTTTCCTGGATCTGACGAGGAAGCCACTCTGGAGGTGCACCGATGCGGTAGTCGATCTCCGATTGGAAAAGGAGGCCTGGACCTGCCGTGCCCCCGACGGCGACAGAGGCGGCCACTGAAGGGGCCCCAGGACACACAAAAAAATACACACAAATAAAAAGATTCCCCATATTTTCCCATACCTTCTGGATTCCTGTCTTCCCCCCACTTCCCATATTTTCGCATATGTTCTGGGAGTCGACGAATAATTGTGTCTGTGTTTTTTCCCCTCCTGAGCCACGACGGCCGGCGGTGGCCGGCAGCTGCAGGCGACCGCGCAGGCGGCCGGCGTGGTCCTGGCAGGCCCAGCAGCGGGGCGCCAGGGTCGGGGGGCCACGGGGGCCGCAGACGCGAGGCCTCGGCCGAGGGCCCCGAGGCCGGGAAGGGAGAGGGGGGGGCAGGAGGACGCGGGGGAAGCGCTGCCATCATTGAGGGATGCAGAGACCCTTCACCTCCTCCTCTTCCTCCTCCTGCTCCTCCTCTCCTCCTCCTCCTCCTCCTCCTCCTCCTCCTCCTCCTCCTCCTCCTCCTCCTCCTCCTCCTCCTCCTCCTCCTCCTCGACGCCCCTACCCTGGGTCACAAGTGCGTGAAGCGCAAGCCTCCTGGGAGCTCCCAAAGGCCAGAGAGCCGCCAGGACGCCGCGCGGCACGCGCGATGTGCAGGGCTTGCCCTGTCAGCCCGCAGGAGGTTCGGCGCACAGCGCCTCGTAAACCAGGGTGGGGGCGTTTTTGACGCCCTTGGCAATAAGGAACCCTAAATGAGGAACGATGCCCCTTTCTCTTTCCATCAGTTAAGCTTCGATGTCCCATCGAAGACCGAAAGAACACCTCAGACAAACTATGAAACCCCCACGGAAAGGGTCCCTTCTTCGGCGGCAAGGGGGCCGAACCGTGGCTTAGGAATCGGCTCTTTTCGGGCACACGCCGTCTCAGAATCACAAGTCAGCCCGCAGCACGAGGGCCCACGACAAGGATGCAGAGGCCTTGGAAGGCCATGCCGACACTTTGCGGGCGGGGCGCGGCCAGCGAAACAGGCCGAGGATGGGCCGAACGGGGAAGGATGCATTGAGCAGGGACCAGCCGTCCTGGCATTCCTATAGGCCTACCACGGAATGTTCTGCGAACACAAAAAATGTTCTCAGAACAACAGCCGTTTTTTTAGAGCATTAGCCCGATGTGTTAAAAATAAGGCAGTGCCAACCAGAAATGTCCCAAGAACCTTTCGTGCAAACCACGAACAGTTCTTAAAACATTCCTTGGTAGGACTAGGCGAGCCAGGACGCGTCGCCACTGCTTGCATTCAAGGGCAGCCTTGGAAAGCCGCTCCTCCTGTACCGTGAGAGCTGACTGTGCCCTTTGCCCGGCTGTAGCCCCCCTTCTGCCGCTGGCTCCCGCCAGGCCCTGCTGCGCGGCGACGGAGGAAGAACAAAGGGCCCAGGGGCACACAAATGAATGGACACAAATCCCAGGATGCCCCACAGTTTCGCATAGTTTCTGGGTGTTTTCGTCTTCCACCTCACTTCCCATAGATTCTCCCATCTTTGCCTGGGAGTCTCTGACTACCTACCAGACCACCCCAACTCAACCCGAAGACCCGCATTGGACCCGAATTTCGGGTTGGGCGGGGTACGGGTTTCATGTGAGTCTTCAATATTCCCCGACCCCCCGCCACTGGAAATGGAGGGGTTGGGTTGGGGTGGTTTGGTGGGCGGTAAGGAAAGAGGCGGGGTGCGACCCAGCTCGCGGAGACGGAACCAGGATCGAGACGAGAGCGAATCGGGATACATGGGGGACCTCCTAGAGCCGGCGAATCTGGAGGGTGTATCGGGCACCGCGGCCGTCTCAGAGCGTTCTGGAACGCTCTGACCGGCGGCGACGATAGGGGCGAATAGCGCAGGGGCGGGCATTTGGTGGGTGGTGAGTCGGCGATCGACTGTGTCTGTGTGTGTTTTCCCCTCCGGAGGCGGGTAGGGAGCGACGAGCAAACCATAGATGTTCCCATCTTTGCCTGGGAGTCGGCGATCGACTGTGTCTTGTGTGTTTTTCCCATCCTGAGGCGGGAAGGGAACGACGAGCAGATCATAGAATCTCCCATCTTTGCCTGGGAGTCGGCGATCAATTTCTCTTTTGTGTTTTTCCCCTCCCAAGGCGGGGAGGGAACGACGAGCAAACCATAGATTCTCCCATCTTTGCCTGAGAGTCGGCGATCGACTGTGTCCTGTGTGTGCTTTCCCATCCCGAGAGGGAAGGGAGCGACGAGCAGGAGGGGGAGGAGGAGAAGGAGGAGGAGGAGAAGGGAGGGGTGGGGGGGGAGGAGGAGGGAGGAGGAGGAGGAGGAGGAGGAGGAGGAGGAGGAGGAGGAGGAGGAGGAGGAGGAGGAGGAGGAGGAGGAGGAGGAGGAGGAGGAGGAGGAGGAGAAGGAGGAGGAGGAGGAGGAGGAGGAGAGGGACGGGCCGGGGGGTCATCGAAAGAAATCTTGAGGGCTGTTCCGCCCGACGGAGGGGCCACCTATGCCAGAAAAGCCAGACTGTGCGTAAAATTCAGCGGGATCGGGCTGGATTGATCGGGATGAGAAGAACTAGACGGGGTGGTGCCAGACAAGGCCAGCTGACGACCACGGATATACAATCGCAGCTGCTGAATGTAACCTTCCAGGGGTTGCATACAAATAACTGGGAGGCCAGCTCGAGAGAAAATATCGAGCTGGGTGGTCCATCACTGATAGATCGGCGATAGGCCCCCGATGGCCGGGCCAGGAGGGCTAGAGGGCGCCTGTCGGCGATCAATGGTTGATGCGTTCCCCCTGAGCCGATCCCCGCTAACGTTACAGTACCATGAGGAAGGGAGTGGGCGGAGTAGGAGGACGAGAGAAAGGAGTCAGCTGCCCCCCCGCGTCCCTTTCGAAAACGGTGAGATGTACAGAAGCATTCTCCATGCCTGTTTGATGACGCCACCATAGCGGCAGTCGCTCTTGCGCCTGGCACCTTGAATCCCGCGCGACAACCACCTGAGTCCGTGCCTGAAAAAGGGATGGCATCTTGAGCATCGTGCAAAAAGCTACGCGAACTCGGGACGTCTGGATGGAGAAGAAAGGGATTCATTTCGTACCGATACGGAGCGATTCTCCAACACCATCTACTCCGGCCCCATCTGACTAGCCTGGAGATAGTAAGGTCACCAGGGTCACCAGATGCCTCTCGAATCTTCCACGAAGCGCTGGGCGTCCCTGAAGTCCCTTTTTAAACGTCTCCAGAAGGTTTCCCGAGGCCAGGATAATCTAAGACGTCTCTCCCCCTCCAAACAACTGTACTCAATAAAGGGCAAGCGGAACATGTGTGGAAAGGGCCCCGAACCGCAAGAACCCCATTAGATTCCACCCAGGGAAACGACGCAAACACACACACACACACATCGCAGGAGGAGAACGAGCGGGAGGCCTCGAGGGGTAGGCAGAGGAGAAGGAGGACAGGCAGGCGGGGAGGCGGGAGGGGGATGGAGGAAGAGATGTGGGTCGAGGAGGCGAGGAGAAGGAGGGAAGAGGCGGGGGCAGCGGAAGACACAGGAGCGGAGTGGACGTGGCATCCAGTGCGGGTTACCAAACGGGCGAACCAAACAAATGTTTGCCAGCGCGGACACCAGACAGTCAGCTACTGCACTGCGGAAGTGCAGGCTGTGTGGCGCAAGCTGTGTGGTGGAGGTCTGTGGTGCAACCTACGTGGCACAACGCACGTAGTAGGAGGAGAAGGAGGAGGAAGAGGAGGAGGCGGAGGAGGAGGGAGAGGAGGAGGAGGAGGAGAAGGAGGAGGAGAGGGACGAGGAGGAGGAGGAGGAGGAGGAGGAGGAGCAGGAGGAGGAGGCCTCGTGGCTGGCGCGCAGGCTATGTGGTGCAATCTATGTGGTGCTATGTGGTGTATCCTATGTGGTGCAAGGCGTGCGGGCGCCAACATGCGCCCCGGTTGACTACCAGCCGGGAATTAATGAGGTAGTAGCCGAAACCTCGGGGCAGCCCCCCGCGCGGGGCGACCACCAGCCGAAATCTCGTGGTCCTTCCCCCCCCGCGCGGGGCACCCACGACGGGGCACCGGCCGAAACGTCGGGGTACCCCGCTGATTCCCTGGAGGGGGTCGAGTAAGAAGCCCCGCGAGGGCAAGCACTGTTTGGGGAACCAGCCGCTGGTTACGTGTTGCCTGGGTTGCATGTTGCCACAGAGGAAGGAAAAACGACATCAGCATCGTTTCGCACAGGGCCGCACGGACTTCTTGGATCGGCACTGGAGCGCGCCGGGGGCGGCGCCGCCATAGGGGCCCGACGCCGATCCAAGACATCCGCGCGGACCTCTGAGAAAGTGTCGAGGCCGTCTTGCGTTCCCCTGTGGCAGCACGTGGCCCAGCTGCTGGTTCCCCAGACGGTGCTTGCAATGACTGGGGCTCTCTCCCGTGGCTTCCCTCCGGGAGTACGTCGGGTACCCCGACGCGTGGGCCGGTGCCCCGTGCCGGGCGCCTCGTGGGCGCCTCGTGGGCCTCGATCCTCTCCCGCTCCTCGGTCCTCCTCGGGCCTCTCTCCTCCTCGATCCTCTCCCGCTCCTCGGGGGAAACCGAGAGGTATACCGCAACTCCCCAGGCCTCTCCCGGGGTGCGTTCTGAACAGGATTTCGAGGCGAATCCAGCGGTGGCGACGAGGACCTCACAACGGGCGGAGGGCAGAGGTATGGGTGCCTGTTCCTCCTCTGACCTCCTCGATCCTCCTCGGTCCTCCGAGATCTTATCTTTGTGCCGTCGTTGGTCCCTCAGAGACCCGCCTTCGCCAGCGTCTGGCCCGGGCAGTAGGCGCCAGGGGTGCCACCGCCGGGCGGCGAGGGCTCCTGCGGTGCGTCTTGCCATGGCCATTCGCCGCCGCCGTCGATCGATCGATCGGGAGGGGGTGGCAGGATGGGCGAGGGAGGGGAATCTATAGAGAGAGGGACAGAGAGAGAGAGAGCGCAGACTTACCCTATATAAACACAAACTGAAAGACGAATGTATATGCACAGAAGAGAGAGAGAGAGAGAGAAACCCAAAGAAACAAATGCATGAATTAGATCAACGATGCTGCAATAGAGATGGGATACACATAAGACGAGAAGAGAGGAGAGGGAGAGGGCGAAAGATACTCCCCAAGCAATGCTTGCACTTACGGATTGTTACTTCTCTCCTGAGGAACTGGCCCTGAATATCGGTCTGGCGGCTCCGTGATCGCCGTCGCCGCTCCGTCGCCGCCCCGTTGCCGGCCGTCGTCTGGCCCTGCATATCGGTCTGGCGGCCCTCTGCTCGGTGTCGCCGCCCCGTCGCCGCGGCCTCGCAGCCCGTCGGTCTGGGCCTGGGTGTGGGTCGGGCGGCCCCGCTCTCGCCGTTGCCGCCCCGCCACCGCCTCGTCGCCGCCCGTTGCACCGCACGGATTGCACAAGACAGATTGCACCACTACGGCGACAACATATGCATCACACACCACATAGATTGCACGTCGCACAGTTCACAACGCTGTCTGCGCCACATGCCCAAGAGACAAGATTGCACCGCATAGGCTGACCAAGATGTGTTGCAGACCAGATACTGCATCACATTGTTGAATGTACTTCATGGACACTCTCATATTGGTTGCAGAAGATGTAGCGCACAGCTGCTGTTATATATATATATGTGTACATCTACATATACACCTATGATATATATATGTATATATATATATTGCACTGAGAATGCTGCCCGCGCTGGCCAACGCGCACACGCTGATCATGTATATGTGGTGGTGTTGGAGAAGGGATGGGAAGGCAACGTGAGAGGTGAAATAAGCCTACTTATAGACATAAGAGGGATTCTACAAACGATAAAGTGCGGGGTCACATGAGAAATACCATATCCTGTACCAACTAACGGAGAGCAGAGAAAAACCATGGAGCGGTGAGATGTGCATACGTATATCTACTTAGAATTACACACATATATATATATATAAAAACTAGAACCACGCGCGCGCTTCGCGCGCGCTTAGGTTCTGTCGAGTCACAGACCCAGGAATCGTTGTGAGAAGAAATTGGTGACGCGAAGCGTCGTGGGGGCGTCCTTGGACGTCTGGGGTCTCCTGGGGCCTCTTGAGGGGCCTCCTGGGGGCCTCCTGGCGGCCTCTTGGGGCGGAAGGCTCGAGCTTGCGGTTCGTGGTCCCCCTCTGGGCCCCCTCTTGGGCCCGTCTTGGGGCCCTCTTGGGCCATCTTGGCGCCTCTTGGGCCGTCTTGGGGCCCTCTTGGGCTGTCCTTGGGCCTCCTTTGGGCCTCTTGGGGGTCTCCTGGGGCCTCTTGAGGGGCCTCCTGGGGGCCTCCTGGCGGCCTCTTGGGGCGGAAGGCTCGAGCTTGCGGTTCGTGGTCCCCCTCTGGGCCCCCTCTTGGGCCCGTCTTGGGGCCCTCTTGGGCCATCTTGGGCGCCTCTTGGGCCGTCTTGGGGCCCTCTTGGGCTGTCCTGGGGCCCTCTTGGAAGCTTCTTGGGCCGTCTTGGGGCGGTCTTGGGCGCCTCTTGGGCCGTCCTGTAACGTCGGAAAGCCCAAAAGACAACTTTGTTGAAAAATGTACGTTTTACGAAGGGAATGGGCCAATTTTTGCGTCTAGGGGCCCTCTTGGGACGCATGTTGGAGGCTTCTTGGGGCGTCTTGGGGGCGTCCTTGGACGTCTGGGGTCTCCTGGGGCCTCTTGAGGGGCCTCCTGGGGGCCTCCTGGCGGCCTCTTGGGGCGGAAGGCTCGAGCTTGCGGTTCGTGGTCCCCCTCTGGGCCCCCTCTTGGGCCCGTCTTGGGGCCCTCTTGGGCCATCTTGGGCGCCTCTTGGGCCGTCTTGGGGCCCTCTTGGGCTGTCCTGGGGCCCTCTTGGAAGCTTCTTGGGCCGTCTTGGGGCGGTCTTGGGCGCCTCTTGGGCCGTCCTGTAACGTCGGAAAGCCCAAAAGGCGACTTTGTTGAAAATGTACGTTTTACGAAGGGAATGGGCCAATTTTGCGTCTAGGGGCCCTCTTGGGACGCATGTTGGAGGCTTCTTGGGGCCTCTTGGGGGCGTCCTTGGACGTCTGGGGTCTCCTGGGGCCTCTTGAGGGGCCTCCTGGGGGCCTCCTGGCGGCCTCTTGGGGCGGAAGGCTCGAGCTTGCGGTTCGTGGTCCCCCTCTGGGCCCCCTCTTGGGCCCGTCTTGGGGCCCTCTTGGGCCATCTTGGGCGCCTCTTGGGCCGTCTTGGGGCCCTCTTGGGCTGTCCTGGGGCCCTCTTGGAAGCTTCTTGGGCCGTCTTGGGGCGGTCTTGGGCGCCTCTTGGGCCGTCCTGTAACGTCGGAAAGCCCAAAAGACAACTTTGTGAAAAATGCACGTTTTACGAAGGGAATGGGCCAATTTGTGCGTCTAGTGGCCCTCTTGGGACGCATGTTGGAGGCTTCTTGGGGCCTTTGGGGGGCGTCCTTGGACGTCTGGAGGCCATCTTCAGCATCTCGGAGCCCTCTTGGAGGCCTCTTGGAAATTTCTTGGGCCGTCTTGGGCGCTCCTGGGGCCGTCTTGTCTGACCGGGGAGGCCTCCGGCAAGCCCCGACGAGCCTCCGGGCCCCCCGGAGCCCACATTTGCGGTCGGGGTCCCGGCCCCAGGCCCCCGGACCCGGTGCGCCGATATATGTATATGGATACAGAGAGGGTGAAAGAAAGAGACAGAGGGGGAGAGGCAGACGGAGAGAGCGAGAGAAGAGGGGGAGGGGAGGGGAGAGGACAAGAGAGGCAGAAGGAGGCAGCGAAGAGCGGGATGGTGGAGGACGGCGAGGCAAGACATGCGACGTGAAGAGAGCGGGGGGGGGGCACGGAGGCCGAGGACGAGAGTGCGGCGCGGGGGGGGGGAGGGGAGGGAGGGGCAGAGAAAGAGACGAGGCAAGAAGCAGAGGCAGGAGGCGCGAAGAAGAAGGCGAGGGGCACGGAGGAGATAACGAGTCCCTGGGATCGCCAGGGTCGGGGCCCGTCGCCTACCCCCCGCGAAATGCTTAAGAAATCATGGGTTAAGAAATCCATAGTCTCAGAATTTGAATAAAAACCCAGAATGTCTATTCAAATCTTAGGGTTTACATTGAAACATTAAGAATAATCGAGACTCTGGCCGAAAACTTGGTCTTCTTAAGCATCGACTAGAGTGTACCCCACAGCCCTAACTCCGCGGATTCTGCCCCTCCTGCTGGCAGGAAGAAGATCGAACACTTCAAGCATTTTTACAGCAGACGCCGGATCAGGATGACGGCGAGGGTGGCGACCGAGCCGACCACGGAGGCCGAGGGGCAGAGGAAACCGTGTGAGAAGAAGTTTGGGAAGATGGTGATGGAGAATGACGAGGACGGAGGAGGAGGAGGGCTCGAACGACGACGGCGACGGCAGCGACCACGACGACGATGGGCACAGCGACCACGAAGACGGCGAACTACAAAAAACAAGCGACGAACGAAGAACGACGACCACGACGACGACAAGGGCCAATCAAGTAAGGGCGACGACCACGACCAAGACGATAGGGGTCAAGGCCACGGACTCTGGAGGCCTCTGCAGACCCAGACACCAAACAAACAATACACGCTCGACCCTCGATGCCCAAACCTCGAACAGCCGTCCTGGAGGACCAGACAAAAAAGGGACAACCAAAAACATCGCCGACCTCCGCGGCGGGCGCGGGAGGCCGAGCGATCCTCACGTGACCCCCGGACAGAACTATTTTTTCATGGCCGAGCAGAGACGGGTCTTACGCACGATGGCACAGCGAGCTCACGCCGCGGCTCACGCGGGCTGCCAGCGTGACACGCCTCGTGAAGACCTGCACGCTCACGCGCGACCTAACTCGGAACGCTTGCGCGCAAATGTCGGCGCCGTCGACTCCCATGTCTTCCATCGCTCATGTAGCTTCTGGCAGATATCCTTGCACGACAGTGTGCCTCCAACCTCGCCTTACCTTCTCGTTCGGCGCTGGGACGGAAGAGCGCACGGGGAAATTCTCTCGCCCTGCGTGATCTCTCCAATTCCCCTTAGCAGCTCGCTCGGGAGCCCCCCTCCATGCAAGCAAACCTGACAGAACCGATCAACAAAACAAACCAAACATAATCATCGATCCCCGATCCTCGACCAATCCTCCGCCGATCCTTCACCGGCCCTCGACCAATCGACCGATCGGCTACACGCAAGAATGACCCTAGGCAAGGGGGACCTTTGGTGCGCGGACTAAAGGGGGCGCAAGGTGGCCAAATCCAAGCGCACGGGCAGCTGCTATCGCATCGCACTCAGCGATCGGGGGGACCCCGATGAACCCGCACCAAAGGTCACTCTGGCGAAGGGTCACTCTTACGTATAGTCGAACCGATCGATCCTCGATCGGTCCATCCTCGATCGACCCGTCCTCGATCGACCTCGGGGATCTACTGACCTGGGTCAATCCAGACCTGGGTCAGTCGTGCCTTGCAGGGTCCTGCAAGATCCTGCAAGATCCTGCAGGTTCCTGCAGGATCCTGCAGCCTAGCCCAAGTCAATAGGCCCCTGGCCCTGCAAGATTCTGCGAGATCCAGCGCTCTGCTCTGACTGACACCCGTTTGCATCGACCCTCGTCTCTTTCGGCGGTGGACAAACCTCTCTTTAGTAGACCACCCTTTAGTGAAAACGGCCAAGGACCGAAACCGACGGACCTGGACCCGCAAAAATGACAGCCGCGACGCCCTCTCGCGAACCGAAAACGGCCAATTCAATAATCGACGTGTAAGGGTAGGAGGTCTATCAACATCCGACCTCCGTCTCTTGAGACCCGACGACTGCTCAAAACGACCCCCGACCAAACCGATCTCCGATCGACCGATCCCCGATCGATCCAAAACCTCGAGAAGCCCTCGGTGGTGGGAGGCTACTCCTTCTCCGCGTCGGTCGCGCGGAGGATAAGGAGGAGGAGGAGGAGGAGGGGGAGGAGGAGGAGGGTGACGAGGAGGAGGAGGACAAGGAGGAGGAAGAGGAGGACGCATCAACGATGTTGAAATAAACCCTGCCTCCAAAGTCCCTCTCCATAGGACCTCGCAAGCACTTGCTCTGATCACGAAAAATGGCCCAGAATGCCGTCCGCGGATCATCGTGACTGCTGCGTCCTGACAATTCTAAACTGTGCCAGAATATTAAACCTCGAAGCCCTCCGCCGCCAAAGGCTCCTCCGCGTCGGGCGCGAGGAATCCGCCCCACGGCGCGGGCACCAGCGGCGACACTGGCCGTGGGGCGCAGCGGCTCCCCTCGCGTCGGGCGGCCGCGGGCGCGGACGAGGGCACTCCGAGGCCGCTCGCCTGCCGCCGTCGTCGCCGTCGCCGCTGTCGCCGCCGTGTCGAGTCCAGCTCGGGGCCGCTCGGCCGCTGCCGCTGCCGCCGCCGCCGCCGCCGAGGACGGTGCCAGGATCGTGCCGCGGCGGTCCCCGGCCCCGAGGGTTTCCTCTCGTCTGCTCACACTGTGCACTGGGCCGTCTTTTGACGGGCTGGGGCCCAGGAAGGGAACCGAAAGCCTGAAACCATGAACGTCTCCCCAAAATCTCGGCGACATCCTCCGCGAGATCCCCCCCCTTCCGCGACATCCTCCCCTCCTCACTCGTACAAAGCTCTCGCCGCGCGAAGCGCGACGACCTTCGAGCGCTTCGCGCTCGAAAATCGTGCGTGCGATTTCGGCCCCCGCCTTTTCTTGCCTAATTACAATGGAATTGTTTCCCTTTTGGAATTTTTGGGGCGGGGTTAACACGACTGTCTAAAAATCGGCCTTGGAAAATTAATTGGGATTGCCAATCGGGAGGACATGTCGTTCGACAGTGTGTGCGTGTCTGAATACGTTCGCAATATAATGTCCGATGTGCATGTTGTATCATATGCGGGTTTGGGGCGTGTTTGACATATTTCTTATTGTTGGTGGACGTGGGGTCTATGAAAACAAAAAATGCAGTCGGGCGGGTGCGCGCTTTCAGTTTCCCCAAACTGCCTTCGCAACCATCGGGGGTGATTGTGCCACGGACAGAACCCTTCGCGCCCCCGAACAACACATCACACTTTGAATTAAGTTTTGAGCGATGTTTCGAAGATTTGGGCTGCATCGGCCGAGGGTCGCTAATAATTTTCCCAGCACTTTGGGCGTAGGTGGTTCAGGGCGTTTCCTCTTCCAGCTTCCCCTCTTCCCCTTCGGGGAGGGGTTTACCCCTCCCCCTAACCCCCTCCCCTGGACCTGGACGGGCCCGGCCGCGAGCGATTGGAGCGTCCAAGATGGGCTCCTGGGAAGGCTACTTTTTGACACCCTTCACGAGGATCGTGGCATCCGATGGGGGGGGGCTAATTGAAGTTCCCCCTTCTTTGATCGTTCTCCTCCAAGATGGCCCCAAGAGTGCCCCTAAAGCCTCCAAGAGCGCTCCAAGAGGGCCCCAAGAGGCGCCAAGATGGCGCCAAGATAGCCCCAAGATGGCCCCAAGATGGCCCCAATAGGCCTCCAAGAGGACCCCAAGAGGGCCCCAAGCGGCCCCAAGAGGCTCCCCCGAGGCACTCAAGACGCCAAAAAGCCCCCCAAAACGGCCAAGAGACCCCCCAGACGTCCCAAGGTCCGCTCAAACGGCCCCAAGAGCCGTCCAAGAGGCTCCCAAGAGACCCCCATCCCAAGAGGCCTCAAGAGCATCCCCGAGGCATCCAATAAACCTCCCAGACGCCCCACGAGGCCTCCAAATCAATTCACTATTGTTGCCCTTGACTATATGTCTATTCCTCCCTCCCCCCGTCAGCTCTCATGGGCATTGTTTCTGGATGGGCTGGTGGGGATACGCGAAGCGTCAACAATCCGCCGTTGTCGGATCATTCTCTCGACCCCCCATTCTGCCCCCCCCCCGCACCTGCTGCCACCCCCATCCCGCACCCATCGCAGCTGTTTCGGCACTAGCTGGCGTGGCTCTTTTTAGAGCCCGCCATGTCCCGCCTGCGGGTTGGGATCGACATCGGCGACGTCACCTGCCGGCGGGACGCCGGCAACCGGCCCGAGGGCCCAGGCCATTGCGGAGGAGGGAAAAGGAGAAATAGGAGGTGGAGGAGAAGGAGGAGGAGAGGGAAAAAAGGAGGAGGGGGAGGAGGAGAAGCAGGAGGAAGAGGAGGAGCAACGGGAAGGAAGTGGAGGAGGAGAAGGAGGAGAACGACAAGAAGAAGGAGGTAGAGGAGGGGGAGGAGAAGGAGGAGGAGGAGGAGGAAGAAAATGAGGATAACACAAATCCACATTTTCTTCCAGAGGCGATGGTTTCGAGGACCTCGTCGTGGACGGCTTCATGGCCTTCGCGTTCCTCTTTGTGCGCGAGCACGGGCCCGAGAATTTGTTCGTGATCAGCCGGACCAACAACGGCACATGGTACGTGCCCAACCGGCGGACACAGGTGTCAAGGGCTGATTCGAACGGGGACCAAAACGTCAAAGCGCTACCAGCTTGGACACCTTGCTGATAGCGCGTTGACGATTTGGGCTTCATCGCATCGTCCCTTATAGGTTGAGGCTTGGGTCGTCAGGTTCATGAGATGGTGCGGGCTGACTCGGCTCGGTTGGGACATCAACACCCAGCTCCACCTGGTCACGGAGACCCACGGCGCCAACGGCAAGGGGCAGGTGGCCGCGCGGCTGGAGCTCAGCCACATGATCGACAACGAGTGCGATTGCCTGTGGTCGTGCCTGGCCGATCCCTGGGGCAACAGCGGCGACTCTCTGCAGGTGAGTTGCCACGTCAACTTACCCACCTCCTTCATTTTTCCCTTGACCAATCCCGAGCAGGTCGCCTTTCGGCGAGGCCGCAGGGGTGGGTCAAGGGAGGATGGGGCACAAGTGGGTCTAGTTGACTTGGCCACAAAGGCGGTCATCCACTTCAAGGCCCTCAAGCCCGCCGGCAGCATCCACAATTGGCCGCCGTGGCTCAAGAAGAGATTCGTGGAGGCACACTCCTGGAAGGAGGTCGCCACGCTGCTGAAGCTTGACTTCAACGATGCGGCCTGGGTCTTCTTGTGCAGGATGTGCCCGCCGGTGCAGGACTTCGAGCACGGCACGCACTGCATCTACAAGACTTTGGAGGAGGACGTGATCTGGCACGTGGGCTCCATCGGCCGCGGGCTGCCAGTCGCCGCTGCGGATGACGACGACGATGCTGATTATCATCATGATGATCCTCCTGGTGGTGCTGACGCACCCACGGCCGCGCCTCCAGCCCCGTCCACGCCGGCTGCTGCGGCTGCTGCGCCGACTACGCCGCCGGGGAACATCTATGTGAAGCCGACCTTCGAGACGCAGTTGGAGGTCATGAGCCTGCACGTCCAGCACATCACCCAGGAGCTCCAGACCCTTCGTGCTCAGGCTGCAGCAGCTGGTGGACAGCAGGCATCGTCGTCGAGCCAGGGGGCAGCGCCCACATCGTCGACCCCTGCTGATGCGGCAGCCGCCGGCGCCGTAGCAGCGCCGACCGCCGCAGCGCCAACCGCAGCGCGCGGCCTGAGCGGCCTGAGCCTCGCGCCGCGGCTCCCTGACGGCCCGCCGCCCGCCCATCTGCTCAGCGCTGGCGAGCCAGCGGCGGCGTGGCGCAAGTGGAGGTCTCAAGGTTCGGAGTCGTGGAACGCTCGCAAGATGCAGCGTGCCATAGAACACAGGATGCGCGTCAACAGCGGCGACGAGCCACGCGCCGCAGAGAGGCTCATCCCTCTGCAGGTGTGTGCTGGTTGCCAACGCAACCAGCCTGGGGCATTTTGCCCGCGGCACTTGTGCAGGCCTTGCTGTCATCAGCATCCCGAGGGCCCATGTGTACAGCAGCATGGTGGCCCATGAGAGGCAGTCATTTGGGATGCATAAGAGACAACAAGATATTTCATCTTGCAGTAGCTGCTGCTGCTGCCGGGGCTGTCTGTGCTATCAGCCCAGACTGAAAACAAAAAAAACATCATCAAGGGCAGAATCGCAATCAGCGCCAGTCGAAGTGATCAAGAGCCCCCTTGGCTGTCTAGGCGGGTCGTTCCAGTACGGGCTCGGGGTGGAGGATTTGCCAGGGAGGGGTTTGGCGAACGCAGGCAGGAGTAGCGGCTGCTTCGGCCTTGGCTGCATCGGCCCTTTGGCGGTGTTCCAAAAGATGCGAGCCCCCATAGAGATATTTCTTATTTGCTTGAGTCCCCCAGCTTTCCGCCATCTCTTTCCACCAGCTTCACATCCAGATCTCCTCCCACGTATCCTCAGCCTCAATGCCGTAGCACATTTCGGCTTTGGCTGCTTCGGCCATTCAGTCGAGTTGCAAGTCTCCACCAAGTGAGTCTGTACACAGACTTCAGATGGGCCCGAAGCGCAACAGCGCCGGCGGCCAGACCGTTCAGAATCCTAAGAAGAAGGCTAAGGCCAAGCCTAAAAGTCACACGTCAACGGAGCCGCTTGCGATAGCACGCTCTCATGCAGAGCAAGCGGCCGCATCGGACAACATGTGTGCAGGGATCGTGGGGCAGATCCACGACGCTATCAGGATCATCGACGATAGCCCGATCTTCAAGGAGATCCACCAGATGAACCCGCTGACTATCGCCGAGGGTGGTTCCCAAGAGCCGTACAACTACGGCTCGTTCAACTCGGTCCTCAAGAAGTCCAACACAGACAACAACGGCGCCGTGTCGTACGACTGTGGAGGGAACTTCTTCTGGCAATCGTTTGTTTGGATGGCGAATCACAGGGTCCCCGTGAACATGGGCATGGTCCGTGACATGCAGCGCATGCACTTGTGCCCAAGCTCGCCACCATCCAAGCTGCCATTGACGACCGTCATCGCGGTCGACAACGCCACCGCGGACATTATGGAGAACAAGGGCGGCATGGCGCGGATCAGCAACCCCGAGCCTGTCTTCGCGACCATCTTGAGTCTGGAGTCGGCGATCCGGAACAAGGAGAGCGATGAAGTTTTGATGGCGTGGCGCAAGACGCTGCTTTCGGCCCCCTTCTCATTCGAGGTGGTCTCGCCGGGCGAAGACCGCTACTGGCGCGCGCAGAACATCAGGCAACAAATCATCCAGACCGGATTCATCGCACAGTTGAGCGTACGGCAGTGGATCTACGACGTAGTTGGCCTGAAGTTAGCAATGGAGAAAGAGATGGCAAAGGAGATCGGCAGCGAGAAATTGCACAAGCTATATACTGATAAGATTACTTTCGCTGGCAACCAGAAGCCCTTGAGCGCTTCATTTGTGGACAGCGCTGTGACGGTATACAAACGAGTCTTAAGTCTGTCACAAGCACGGAGGCACCTTGAGTGGGCAGAGGAGAACATGCTGGACAACTACCCTTTCAAGACAATCGGCTCCCTCCAGGCGCTGGTGGACCGCGGGCAGACCGCCTCGCGCATCAGCTGGGCCATCTGGGGGATGACCGACTTGTACCGCATGGACGCTGGGACGTTGACAGAAAATGCAATGCATGTCCTGAGGCCATCAGGTATGTGGGTTGGGAGGGGTGGGGTGGGGGAAAACAACAAATTACCCCAGTGCGACCCTACCTAGAAGTTGGAGCCCCTAGGAAAGCAACATTAGTTGCTATGCTATGCTATGCTATGCCATGCTACGATGCGCTATGCTATGCTATGCTCTGCTCTGCTGTGCTATGCTATGCTATGCTGCGCTATGATATGCTTTGATATGCTATACTATGCTATGCTATGCTATGATATGCTAAGCTATGTGATGTCATGCTGCGCTGTGATATGCTAAGCTAGGCTATGCTATGCTATGCTATGCTAAGCTGCGATATGCTATGCTATGCTGCGCTGTGCTATGCTGTGCTGTGCTGCGCTAGACTATGCTGTGCTATGATATGCTGCGCTATGCTATGCTATGCTATGCTATGCTGGGCTATGCTATGATATGCTGTGCTGCGCTGTGCTATGCTACCCTCTGCTATGCTATGTTGTGCTCTGCTCTGCTAAAGCTCGGCGAAGCTAAGATGAAGGTAAGCTAAGCTAAGATTAACCTGAGCTAAGATGAAGCTAAGCTAATCTAAGATGAAGTAAGCTAAGCTAAGATGAGATAAGCAACGCGAGGGGACGTAACTGGGGGAACAGCGGGGCGGATGCCAAGGGAACCGCCCGGGGCGTTTTGCTTTGCCCGGCCCCTTTCAGCACAGACGGTAAGAACCCTTCTAGGCAGAGCCTAGGTAGGGAACTCTTGTGAAATAACATGGATCAGGAGAGCATCAACATCGGAGAATTCTCGGGCAAGAAGCTGCAAGATTACAGAGTCAGCTACGTCGAAGTGCTAAACCTGAAACTTGCACTTCGGGACGAGTTCCTCCAGAACTGGCTCCCGCAGTCTGGCATCGCGTCGCAGTTCGCCACCAAGCTGCAAGAAGTGCTGGCCGACTTCGAGAGCGTTCGTAAACACATGACTGCGTATCCTGGCTCACACGCGGACACCACATGGATGGTGAGTGTCCCGCCTTCGGTCGCAGCGGCCGCGGAAATGATTGAGGACATGGTTTACACTGTGAATTGGGACCCTCGGTTTCGTGACGCGATCAAGTCTAAATGCACCGTGACAGATTTCATGGCCTACGACTCCGTCGCGGGAGCCATCAAGGAGGTGACGGACATGATCAGCGTCGAGCGCGCCGCATCTATGAAATGCGTCGAGAATGGGGGGTCAGAGACTGCTGGTACGGCAGAAGGCGCAGCTGTCCCGGCTGCGGGCTCCGCTGTTTCGGCGGCACCTGCGGCAGCAGAGGGCTTCGAGATCCTGGGCACCACCGAGAAGGAGCATTGGCAGCAGCATGTCGACAAGACGGTGAGGACTTACATCAACTTTATCGTGGAGGGCAAGAAATCGCAGGCGGAGATCGAGCTTGCCATCAAGAATTCACCATTGGCCATGATTCAGGGGGACCCTACAGGCTTGGTGCTATATTTTTACGATGTGAAAGCCCATGGAGAACCCCTCACCAGGCCAGAGCTCCGCATCAGCCCGTTGAGGGATGTCGTTTATAACAAGCTCGTCAAGTCGGTACTGAACGCAAGGGCACCCGCCGGTGGACAGCCGCATCTTCGTCCAGGAGAGGTGGCGGTGGTACTTGACGGAGGCCGGCGGGGGAACGCAAACAAGTTGCAGGCGCCTTGGAGGGAGGGTACACGGAAGGACGGCAAGAAGAAGGAGGATGATGACGAAGAGGACCCCGTGGACGATGAGGATGAGGAAAAGCCCAACTTCACAGTCTCGAACATCAACTTAATCTACACGGAGAGCTCGCTCCAGGCCCGAAGGCAGAAGGCGCGCGGCTGCATGGGCAGCGTCCAACAGTCCGAGACAGCCATCATGATGTCGAACAACAAGATCAGCATCCCAGAGCGCAGCCGCAAGCATTGGCCAGGATCTACGAGCGGAGACACGATCTATGGGATCGAGGCCCCCGACATCTCCAAGGAATGGAAGATGGCGTGGAAAGACAAAAAAGACGTGCTGGGGAAGAAGCATATGATCCCTGTGGGGGGGAAGACGGAGATGGACAACGTCGATCCTAGTCAGGTCAATGGGGATTGCACATTCACATATGATTAGCCTTGCTTCCGTCGTCGCTCCTCGGCAACGGGGTGAAGGCGGCAGGGTTAGCCATGATGTGCATGAGCAATCGCCGCCAGATCGAGCGCAAGACTGATTCCACGTGGGTGCCTATGTGCTACCATCCGATGCCAGAGAAATTCTATGACGAATTGATATACACTTTCTACGCGAAATCGATCGTCGACCTCACCCCCACTGACGGTAAGTTTGCATTCACCGCGCTCAAGCAGAGAGTGGGGTACGTGGGCATCGCATATACAGATGCACATGCAGAGAAGCTGTATGATCGTCTCGGAGAGTTAATGAAAAAGGAGATGCTAAACCCCGCCAGCAAGCTCTGGAACTCATCCTACGCGAAGGCGGTGAAGCCGGACACCAACGCCGAGGAGGAGATTGAGGTCAAACCGAAACCACAGCCCAAGCCCAGGAAGGGAAAGGGTAAGGCCAAGCCCAAGCCCAAGCCGAAGGGCACAGACGATGGGGAAGATGATCTGGGCGTCGACGACCAGGAGGACAAAGCGGGGCCACCAGAAGATCAAGAAGAGCAAGACGATGATGAGGATGTCTGGGATCCGGACGCAGAAAAGTGAGCCGTAGCTTTCCGAGCGCAGACGCAGCACATATGCCATGTCCTAGTAATGCCAGGGGTGCCGAAACAGCCCGAGGGCCGAAGCAGCCCAACAAATCAGCAGGCGTGCCAAAAGATAACACGAATCTACAGAAGCAGCAAGCGTACCCAGACAGCACAAACAGCATTTACTATAATAGGACGTGGCATTCCAGGTCGCTGCGTAAGATATTTCTGCAGCAGCCATCGTAGAACGGTACACGCATGTGGCGTGGCATTTTGGCAAGCTGTTTCGGCTTGAGCTGCGCAAAAAACTTCCCACCACCTCCTTGCCTCCTTCCATCCGTCCCTGCCTCCCTCCCTCACTCTGAGTCTGAACGGAGGGGGTAATGCATTAAGAGTTCCAGGATGTCCGAGACGCCCTGCCCAAGATCGGCCTCATGCGCATATCGATGTCTGTTGTCTCCCGAGGTGTGTTTGTTACTTCTAGAGGTGTTGGCGCCCAACATGCTGGTGCAGGCTGACCGCAGCTGCGAGAGGAGCAGACTGTTAGTCCGCTCCTCTCGCACCTCACTGCCGGCCCTGAGCTGCGAGTGGTAGGGTTGGCCCGCTACAGGCAGAGCAGACTGTTTGGGGCCACTTGGAAGTCTGCTCAGACATGAGAGGTCTACCCATTGCTCTCGCAGCTCACTGCCGGCACTGAGCTGCGAGAGGAGCAGACTGTTAGTCCGCTCCTCTCGCACCCCTGGGGGGGATCGCAGGTGCACCGACTGCACCGGACCAGTTGCCGAGGCGGGCGCTTACCGTTCAGATGAGGCGGAATTCAACGGCGGCACCGAGCTGCGAGAGCCAGTTCAACGGCGGCACCGAGCTGCGAGAGGCGAAGTTCAACGGCGGCACCGAGCTGCGAGAGCCAGTTCAACGGCGGCACCGAGCTGCGAGAGGGGGTTCTGCAATATTGCAGAACCCCCTTTCGCAGCTCGGTGGCGGCACCGAGCTGCGAGAGGGGGTTCTGCAATATTGCAGAACCCCCTCTCGCAGCTCGGTGCCGCCGTTGAACTGGCTCTCGCAGCTCGGTGCCGCCGTTGAGCGCCTCTCAGCTCGGTGCCGCCGTCGAACTGAGCTTGGTGCCGCGGTTGAGTCTCGCCTCTCGCAGCTCGGTGCCGCCGTTGAACTGGCTCTCGCAGCTCGGTGCCGCCGTTGAAGTGCTCAATTCGGCCCACCCCTTGCCCCCGTTCAATCTGACATGTCAATCTGGCCCCGTGGCGTTGTCCTGTAATGACGTTTGACGCCGACCCAGCGCGTCCCCCAAGACAAGGCTTGTTGTTTAACGCCGAATCAACACGTCCGCACTTGCATGACCCGAAGGAATTATCCCCCACCGTCATCCCTCCTGTCTGCCCGCTCAATCTACACGTGACTTCTTCATTTCAACATCACAGATGTCGGCAACGAGGTGCCATTTGTTTCGCAAACATCGGTGAAATCTACATTACCATTGTGATCATCGTTTTCATTCCCTACCTAGGCTCTGCCTAGAAGGGTTCTTACCGTCTGTGCTTAAAGGAGCCGGGCAGTGCAAAACGCCGCGGGCGGTTCCCCTGGCATCCGCCCCGCGGTTCCCCCAGTTACGTCCCCTTAACTTAGCGTTGCTTATCTCATCTTAGCTTAGCTTATGTCATCTTAGATTAGCTTAGTTTCATCTTAGCTCAAGTTTATCTTAGCTTAGCTTACCTTCATCTTAGCTTCGCCGAGCTTTAGTATAGCAGAGCACAGCATAGCAGAGCGTAGCATAGCATAGCGCAGCACAACATATCATAGCATAGCCCGGCATAGCATAGCATAGCGCAGCATAGCATAGCATAGCATAGTATAGCGCAGCACAGCGCAGCACAGCATAGCACAGCGCAGCATAGCATAGCATAGCGCAGCTTAGCATAGCATAGCATAGCATAGCATAGCACAGCGCAGCATGGCATAGCATAGCGTAGCATAGTATAGCATAGTATAGCATAGCGCAGTATAGCATGGCATAACACAGCATATCATAGCGCAGCATAGCATGGCATGGCATGGCATAGCATAGCAAGTAATGCTGCTGTCCTAGGGGCTCCAACTTCTAGGTAGGGTCGCACTGGGGTAATGTCATTGATTAACATTCACAACATCTCAGATACTAATCCGTATACACTTTTTGCTCAAAGCAAGTACGTGTGTGCGTGCGTGTCCGGCGCCTACCCCCACCGCGCTCTGTTACGCCATGGTTCTCAACCGTGCACCCGGCGCAGTTGCCTCTCCAAAGAGGGCAACGCGCCGCCCTCGCTGTCCAAAGACACTGAAGGTCGGGAGCGACTTCTCTGGTATGGACGCCTTCAGTGCCGCCCTCAAGCGGATGAATGTTCCACATGAAGTATTATTCGCTTCTGACACCAACGTGACGTGCAGGAAGGTCTTGCACTATGTCCACAACCCCCACATGATCTACGGGGGAATTGAGGAGAGGGAGGCCGACGCCGACCCCAGCACAGACCTCTACCTGTGGACGCCCCCTTGCCAGGACTTCAGCTCCATCGGCAAAGGGGCTGGTAAGAACGGACCCCAGAGGTCAGGGGCCTTGATGGCCCGTGCCATGAAATACATCAAGATGAAGCAGCCGCGTCTCACGATCATGGAGAACGTGAAGGCCCTAACCCACGCCAAGCATCGCCCCGCCATGGCAGGCATCCTCAAGTTCCTCCAGGACAACAACTACGAGGTCTTCAAGAACGTCCTGAACGCGAAGCACTATGGGCTGCCTCAGGATAGGCGTCGCCTGATCATTGTGGGCATCCGCAAGGACTGCATCAAGCGCCCATTCAGCTGGCCCACCATCAACATGAAGACACCCAGTGTCGCCACAATTCTCGACCGGCACCTACCGTCCGACAAGCCCGGGAGGCTCCCGTCGAAGGCTCGCGAGAAGGAGCGGTGCCAGGCGGCGTACAGGAAGGCGCATGGAGACGGGCATGATGCCAGGAAGGTCAACATCATGGTGGACGTCGACGCGTCAGAGAAATTTCAAACGTTCGGGGTGGACATTTGCAAGACGCTCACGCGCTCGCGGGGCGGTTGCGGGGGGCCATGGGCTTCCACGCGTGGCCGCCGCTTGACCACCCCGGAGCTTCTGAGGCTCCAGGGCTTCAAGCCAGAGGACTGTCCCTACCAGGAGTTGGGCATCTCCGAGCGCCAGGTGGGGCTCATGGCAGGAAACGCCGTGGCCGTCAACATGGCCGGCGTGGTGCTACAGGAGGCCCTGTGGAGCGCCGGTCTCGTGAAGGAGAAGAGCGTGTACCCTCGCATGAGCCACGTGGTGGCGTAATCACCAAATCCGCTCCATCTATGGGGTCCCCGGCGGGCGCGGTGCCAAGCTGTTTCGGCTAACAACCGCTTACTATGATTCATCGCCGCTCTGATTCGGAGCGTATGTGTGGCGAGCTCTCGTATGTTTGGCAGCGGCAACAAAAAACATCACATCATAATCACAATAATCTTCAATATCTTCATTTCAATGTTCGCACCCGTGCCACACTCATGATTGTAGTCTGTACGTATGCGATTAGTTGGGTTGTGCATCAATTTGTGGCTGCGTTCGGCCATTCCGTTGACTACGTTCTACCAGTTTCTGACTGCGTCATTTCTTCCATCACCTTTGGCAATGTTGGGCAATGCCCTTCAAGACATCGTTGGGATTGGGGGATTCACGGAAGTCCGTTTTGGATGAATGTTTTCTTCCGATATCCCCCTGGGTGCCGTCGGCCAAGGCTTTAAACATGGAATTGCGGCGTCGCTGGAAGATGTATGTAGGGGGGAACTGTAATTGATGTCTCATCACATCTCTCAGTAGCTGGTTCGGCTTCAGGTGCCTTGGCATTCCCAGCCCATGAGCTGATTCGGCTTCATGCTTGGTTGGTGCATGGCATGGTAAAGGGCACCATCCAGACTGCCGCGTGGGAGGCACAAGTCAAATGGGATCGACTGTACCCTGTCTGGTCCGAGAGGTTTCTTCTCCGACCTGGTGACGTGACCAGCGGGACATGGCTCCGCAGCAGGTGGAAGTTCGGAGGCGGGGTCGGTTGTGTTGCATGTCGCATGGCAGGCGTGGGGAGCCCATTCGGAAGGTTTGAAGTAGCGTCCCCGTCAGCCCTCCAATCGGTAAACTTTCAGAAACACCAAGACAACCCCAACCACAAATTAGCTGCTACCACATACTTATCTGGCCAAGCCTCAGTTTTGACCGGGTGTCCTGATTCGACATATTTTGAAACATTGGCGAATGATATGGTTCGTGGGAGGGCGTTCGATAACTCATCACTTAAACTGAAAGCTGCATGGTGTCTCCTGGAAGCCATGCGACAACGAGACCAAAAAGCAATCAAAGAATCTACATGGATATCATTGTTCCGTGATGAACGTAATGGAAGGCTTCTGCTCCGCTTTCGCGCAGTGAATGATTCCTTGCAAATCTACTCCGGGACGCTGGGGCTCCAGCGGGACTTTGGCTCGGGTGCGACTCAGATTACTTCAGCCACAAAAAACATTATGTCACGGGCTTGCACAACAATGCATGACCCGCCACATAATACATCGTTTATTGGCAAAGAATCAAAAGTACCAGGGCTTTTGGAGCACCTGTGTAAATCTGTCCTCTTCTTGGCAGTGGACTCTGCTGGTGATGAGACGCTGAGTGCAGAGATCATGCGATGTAGTTCTTTGGCAGGCTCTGTTGCTGGAGTATTGACACCCAGCTTGAAATTCGTACTCAAAGATAAGGCTCACGCCTCACGTAGAATCGTCAGCCGCCCCTGGGCGGCTGACCCCTACATCAAGGACGTTGCCATGATGACCGCCCAAGGTCGTGGTGCTATTTCACGGATGGTACACAACAACGTTCATTTGCGTCAAATGTTCAACATGTACGTGAAGCAGCATTCCAACGGAGTTGTCAACTCGGCCTGCACCAACATGCGAGCAGCGAAACATCGGTTCGAATCGTTTCAAAAACCAATAGGAAGAACGTGTTTGCACTTGCATGCTTGTATCCGGACGGCCTTGCATATCTGGCTTCATTCCAACAATCCTGATGCGAAGGATCGCGCAAAAAAGTGGTTGCTATGGATAATTTGTGAGAGGTGCCTCATGGCCGCCATGATGGCGGACGCCAGTGATCAAGCGATGGCACTTACACGCAACATGGACACTGAGAAGCTGGATCCGGCAAGCTTGAATGCGGAGATTCACGCATTCAATCTATCAATTACCGCTCTCTTCTGTGAGAATCAATGCTTGGTTGTCTTTGGATACACGTCCACTATGTTAGCTCTACTGAAAAAGCAACTGGTGTGGCAAGTCGGCAATGAAACGTGCGTTCTGGGGGATGAAAGCGGAGTTCGGGACGATGTGATTGAGCGGTGCCTTGGAAGGATGAGGTCATGGATTATTCTAGCTCGTGCATCCCTGAGGGCAGAGTTCCCCAGCTGGGAAATATCGCAGGCGCGCGGGGGTCGGAAGATTCCATGAGCCACGTGGCTTCGTGGGCGGACGCAATTGCCAATGCAATGGCGTATGCCCGCGAAGTGCGTGAGACTGGTTCTTCGGATGCCCGCTCAGTGTCAGGCATTCCAGATTTTCGACGTGGGAAGCCCATGCACAAGGACCCGGGGGACCACATCGCCAGGCTGGCACAAGCCCTCAATGTGACGGCTCTTGCCTTCTCCGAACACCCCTCAGTGAGTTACGACATAATCAGGAACCACATCTGGCTCGCAAAATGCCCCTGATTCTGTACATAGTCTCTGAAATCAAGCCCAATTCAAAACAAACGTCGGCCGGGCTTCAATATGTCGATCGACGATCACCCGTCCCCGCGGGTTATCATGGGGCCGAATCAGCCCAATTTCCAGGGACATATTTAGCCAATTCATGCCACCATTGAGGTCCAGGTTGCTTCCCTGGACGGGGGGCGAGCGGTCTTGCCAAGAGCGCAGCTCCACGCACAGTGGCAAAACATGTTCCCTCGAGCCCGGGCTCGATGGACTGATGCGACATCAAATGTGGACGCGTGGTCGGTGGTTCTCGCCCAAGCCCGCCGCCATCCGCTGGCCATGTGTCATCCCACTGACATTCTTGGCAAGGCGTTGGCCGCATACGCAGCTTTCGGTATAAGCACATCTGGCGTTGAGCAAGACTTCAGTAAGGGTGATCAGATTATGGGTAGCAAGAGGCTCTCGTGCCGCCCTGGGACGGAAGAGTTGGTTGTCAAATTAGGTTTAGATTTGCCTGGACATGACATCAAGAAGCTTATCCCTTGTGCCCAGCGTGTATGGCAGAATGCCTACAGGCCTCCGCGGAAGCAGAACCCCCTTGGCCGTTTCAGCAGGGGCGTCAAAAGGAGGACGCCGATGAATTCGGAGAAGGCGTTCATTGCAAAGCGTCGCGCTGCAGCCGAATCCGCTGCCAGTAAGTTTCCGACTGCTGTGAAGTTGGGTTATGTGCCGACAAGCGTTGTGCAGCGTGGCGCCGATTGGAGCGCCTCGCATAACAAAGAATTGCATTTCCAAAAGCAGAAAGAACAAACTAAGGCCGTGGACGCACTAGGCGAAAACACGCTGCTCAAGCATGAAGTCACACCTGCGCTCAAGCGCTCTCTTCTGGCCAAGTCCAACAAGAGGGTCAAGGATTTGCAAGCGAGGGAACGCAAGACATCACGTTGTCAAGCAGCACTCACAGCAACATCCGGCAGCTGCGTTCTGAAATCATTGCGCGGCGCATTTGCCTTTGTCGAGGAAGATGTCAGAAGACACCTCTAGCAACGGCTCTCGCTAGGCATGGCATTTTGCTGGGCCTATCCCACACAGCCACCGTTTTTGTCGTGAAAACGCCAGGCCACGCAAGTATGCGTGTGACCGCTGCTTCGACGGTTCGGGGTGCTTATCAGATAAGCCCGGGCTTGCTGCTCTCCGATGGGGCAGGGGGGACAGCTCTCAAAATGCAGCCAGTGTTTCACATCAGAAGAACTATATTCGTAAGCGCTGGCGCTGTTGCTAGCCATGGCTGTTTTTGCAAGTTCCTGGACAAAGTCGTGGCAGGCACGCGGGGTTGTGCTTGGAAAGTTGAACGCTCCAACTGGCCTGCTGTAAAGGCGGCAGAGCGCCCGGGGTTGTTGTTCGTCTTGGCCACTCCAGGGGAAATGGCCGGTTTTGCGGGCCACAAGAACACGTTCACATTGGATGCGTTTCTGAAGCGAGTCGTCATCGTTGACTCTGCCGCCTCTGTGAATGGATTCAACGTGGTAGCCACCACAGCGAAAAACATCGTCAGCATCATCGTCATCATCTTTGTCATCAGAACCATCTTAACATCAAGCCATTATGATCACCACCAATACAACACACGTCCTTGTCATTGCTATCGCCATCACCTCCACAGTACATGTTCTCATCAGCATCACCATCGCAATCACCACAATTACCCATGCGCACCATCATCACCACCGTAATCACCACATACACACACACACCATCACCAACACCATTGAATCCAACCAGCCCTTTGGGCGTAGGTGGTTTAGAGCGTTTCTTCTTCCAACCTCCTTCTTCCCCTTTAGGGAGGGGTTTACCCCTCCCCCTAACCCCCTCCCCTGGACCTGGATGGGGGGGTTCGCGAGGGGTTGGAGCGTCCAAGATGGCCCAATACGGGCACCTGGGAGGCTTACTTTTTGACACCCCTCAAAAGGACCGTGGCCCCCGAGGCGTTCTGGAGGGGCAACGCTAATTAAGTACTCCCCCTTCTTTGATCGATCTCCTCCAAGATGGCCCCAAGAGGCGCCCAGGAAGCCCCGAGTCACCAATATGGCCCCAAGATGGCCCCAAGATGGCCCCAAGAGGCCTCCAAGAGGACCCCAAGAGGGCCCCAAGCGGCCCCAAGAGGCTCCCCCGAGGCACTCAAGACGCCCAAGAGCCTCCCAAGACGGCCAAGAGACCCCCCAGACGCCCCAAGGGCCGCTCAGACGGCCCCAAGAGCCGTCCAAGAGGCTCCCAAGAGACCCCCCAGATACCCCCAAGAGGCCTCAAGAGCACCCCCGAGGCATCCAAGAAACCCCCCGGACGCCCCAAGAGGCCTCCAATAAAACAATTCACTATTGTTGCCCGCGCTGCTTGACTATAATATACGTCTGTTCCTCCCTCCCCCCAGTCAGCTCTCATGGGCATCATTTCCCGATGGGCTGGAGGGGATACGCAAAGCGTCAACAATTTGTAGTGAGCCCCGCCCTCCCCTCCAGCCCCCCGCCCTCCCTTGCAAGATTAAGTGCCGAGCGCTACTATTAAGATATGTGTGTCCACGTGTATATCAGACTGGCGGTTCCGAGCCCCGCGCAACATAGATAATTAAGTTTAGTGATGACAGGGATAACTCGAACAAAGTATTGTGCTTATCTGGTGATGGGAATTCACACACCGCATCGAAATTTCAAACAGGGGTACAAGGCGCGACCGCCACTCACCCCCCAGACCCCACGTGAGCTCGTGTGCGTTCCACCATTTTTGGAGTTAACTGAATAATCAGCATATGCTGGGAACAGCAATGCCAATGGAACCCGGGGGGCCCACAACTACTCTAAGTTGTGCCTCCCATAAGCCACACCACTGCATCGAAACCCAGAGGCCCCGAAAGAAACAGGCACACACAGTGTTGGTGAAATTCCAAAAGGGAAAAAATTCCACTGTAATTGGGCAAGTTTTCTTTGTGCTGCATCCTCAGAGGGGACCTCGTCTGTCCCGTCGCGGCCCTTTCCGGGTCGAATCCGTGTCGAATCCATGTCGGCCTCGTCGGATCCGTGTCGAGTCCGTGTCGAATCCGCGTCGAATCCACGCCAAGCCCGTGTCGAGTCCGCATAGAGCCCGCGTCGGGCACCAACACACACACACAGATAAATGTTTGGGACAGGCGAGGTCCCCCCCAAATGCAACGCCGCGTCACGGCGCGCCTCGGGTCACGGGGCCCGCGTCACGAAGGAGTCGCAACGTCGTAGGGGAGGGCCCTGCGTGGAAGCCAACGGAGGGGCACATGGCCTCATCCCCCCTGGGCCCCGACCTCCGCTGTGCCCCCGAGGCTCCTGGCACCCAAGACAGCACACGCCACCGCACACACCCCGCTAGGCGAGGAGGGAGGAGGGAGGACCACCACTGCCACCAGAAGGCAGCATACTCTTGGATCCTGGTGCGATCAGCGAATGCACACACACACACACCTACGCACAGGCGCACGCGCACGCACACACAGACACACACGCATATACACACACACACACTCACACACACACAAACACGCACACATACACACATACACACACACACACGCACATTACCACCACCACCAGCACCACCAGCACCAGCATCTCCATCTCCAGAACCACCACCACCACCACCCCCAGGGTGGTGGTGATACTCCCCGCCACATTGACCTACCGCGAGGGAGAAACGAGCACCACCGCCGCCAGCCCGCTGGAGAGGGGGACCCGGCAGGGGTGGCGGCACGGACTGTGCGGGGGCACGTCCGCGGGGCACCCTGCTTTTGTAGTAGACGTGCAACGCGAGGGCGAGAGGCGCGGCCGCCGAGGAGACCCCCCCTAGCCTCAGGTCGGGCATGTCCCCCTACAGGCGGAGTTTGGCCGAAACATTGAAACATTGAGAAAAGTTGTCAACAAAAAAAGCCCCAGGTTATTTTCCTTATATTTTTGAACACTCCTCCTGTAGAGGGACAGGCCCGACGTAGAGTCAACCAGAACAGTCAGGATGCGCGAAAAGGATGCAGGGGCCTTGGACGCCCTATTCGAAGCTGCTCGAGCGGGGCGCGGCCAGCGAAAGCGGCGAAGGATGGACCGGGGAGGCAGGGAGAAAGAAGGGCACGTTTGGGAAAAATAAAATGCACATCCTTACCATGCGGGTTGCCTGTAACCCCAGCGGGGAGGACCGGCTCGGGGGCAGAAGGCGTCGACCCGAAGCGGCGGGCAAATGCATCGCCGAGGGGTCGGCGGCGGGCTCCCGACGGCGAGATCGCACGCCTCTGGGCGGGGTGGGCTGGCGGGCCACTGCCAGAAGGTCGGGCGTGTCCCCCCCCCCAGGCGGATTTTGGGCGGAAAATGAAAATATGCGAAATAACAAAGATTCAAAACATCGTCCCCAGACAATTTCTTTCACCATTTGTGAATGTTCCTCCTGTAGAGGGACGGGACCGACTTAACACTGTCGGCGATGAACGGGCGATCGGGGGTCGATACCATGCCCCCTGAGCCCATCCCCTCCATGATGGGCAAATTTTCTACCACCACTGCCATAGGTAGGGCGGGGGAGAAGGGAGGATGGGGAGGTCCTCCTCGTCCTTCTCCTCCTCCTCCTCCTCGTTCTCGTCCTTGTCCTCCTCCTCCTCCCTTCCCTACCTATGGTAGTGGTGGTGGAGAATTCGCCCATCACTCCAGATCCGCCCTCGACCCGGTCGGGCACCGTGGCAGCCGCGCGATGCGGCGCGCAGCAGGCGAAAAGAAACACGCCCATACCGCTGCTCCACGGACCTCCCCTGCTGCGCGTTCTGGCACGGATTTCGTGGCGAATCCGGCCTTGGTGACGAGGGAAGCGTTGACGAACAAGCAACACACACACAACACACACACACACACACACACCGATACCCATAGACGGGTCGGATGGAGTAGTGCTGGCTGTGAAGCCCCCATCCGACAACACGCACCCATAGCCCCCTCCGCCCCCCCTGTGGGTGTGGTTGTGTGCTGCTCGCTCGTCGAGTGTAGCGGCGTCGGCATCGCTTCCTCCTCTGAGCGCGCGACCCTGCATCTTCCCTTGGTGAAGGGGCCCCAGGACACACAAATAAATACACACAAATAAAAAGGTCCCCCATATTTTCTCATATTTTTGGGTTTTTTGTCTTCCCCCCCACTTCCCATATTTTCCCATATTTTCCTGGGAGTCGACGATTAATTGTGTCTGTGTGTTTCTTCCCCTCCTGACTTGGGTCGGCGGCCGCAGGGGCACCCAGCGGCGGTCGTGCCACGGTGGGGCACGCCGGACAGCAACTGTGGAGACCCGAGGGGCGGGGGTGGAGGCGCGCGCTGGGCGCGGAGGGGCGGGGGGCCGGAGGAGGGCCCAGGGCTCCTCTGAACGCGCGCCTGCGCACACGTGCTCGACGCCGTCCGCGGCGCGAGGAGCAACGCCACGGGCGCGCTTCGGCGCGCGGTAGCGCCGCGGGGGCCGCCGCGCAGGCCACGCGCGAGAGCGCAGGGGCGCCGCATGCCGCCCCCGTCCGAGGGCGCCTTCGAGCCGCCGCCGCCCTGGATGTCACCGGGCTCCGGCGAGAACGCCCAGTCCGGCGCCTGGAGGGCAAGGACGACCGCGGCGGCGGCGACGACTGTTGACGACGACGCCGACTGTGGACGACGGCGGCAAAGACTGTTGACGACGGTTGGCGACTGTTGACGACGACGACAATGACGACGACGACGACGACGACGACGGAGGCGGCGGTGGCCAAGAGGGGTAGGGGCAGGGAACGGGGGGAGAGGCGCGGGACGAGTGGCAGGAGAACGAGGAGGAGAACGAGGAGGAGGAGGAGGAGGACGAGAAGGATGTCTCCGACGGCCTTGACGACGACGGCGGCAACGCAGGGAGGTGAAGGCAGGCAGTCAAGAGTGGGCTCGGGGAGAAGCAGGGGCAGGGGCCGGGCCAGAGCGGGAGAGGACAAGGACGAAAAAGGGAAGCAACAGGAAAGGAGGACATTGAGCAGGGAGAAGCCGTCCCGGCATTCAGATAGGCCTACCACGGCATGTTGTTAGACCCCATGCATGTCTTATGAAACAAAAATTACTCACTGCGTGGAGCTCCCCATATGTGCATCTCATGTTTTCTGTCATGCCATAATAAACGTCTGTCCATGAGCAATTGACTATAATAGAGCGTTTATGTGGGCGACAGGGCCGACGAAGACGAGCGAATCCTAATGCGAGTGAGTGAGTATGAGTCAGAGTGGGCTTTGACTCAAAATCTGCTCGGAAAGCCAAGGATGTTGGCCATGATCACGAGCAAACCGCTTGAGACATCCCCACAAACTGGCCGCGAACGGGCCCGTGCAACCACCCCTGGCGGCTCCCCGTAGGGGAGCTGAAACCAGCACCCCGCCTGAGACATCCTCAACATCTGCTCTGAAAGCCAAGGATGTTGGGCATGAAAACGAACAAACCGCCTGAGACATCCCCACAAACTGGCCGCGAACTGGCCCGTGCAACCACCCCTGGCGGCTCCCCTTAGGGGTGCTGAAACCAGCGCCCCGCCTAAGACATCCTCAACATCTGCTCTGAAAGCCAAGGATGTTGGCCATGAAAACGAACAAACCGCCTGAGACATCCCCACAAACTGGCCGCGAACGGGCCCGTGCAACCACCCCTGGCGGCTCCCCTTAGGGGTGCTGAAACCAGCGCCCCGCCTGAGACATTCTCAACATCTGCTCTGAAAGCCAAAGACGTTGGGCATGAAAACGAGCAAACCGCCTGAGACATCCCCGCAAACTGGCCGCGAACGGGCCCGTGCAACCACCCCTGGCGGCTCCCCTTAGGGGTGCTGAAACCAGCGCCCCGCCTAAGACATCCTCAACATCTGCTCTGAAAGCCAAGGATGTTGGGCATGAAAACGAGCAAACCGCCTGAGACATCCCCACAAACTGGCCGCGAACGGGCCCGTGCAACCACCTCTGGCGGCTCCCCTCAGGGGTGCTGAAACCAGCGCCCCACCTGAGACCCGCCTGAATATGAGTAAATCTGTATATGAGTAAGTTTGTGTATGTGCACGTCTGTGTATGAGTAAGTCTGAGTATATGTAGGTCTCAGTATGAGCAAGTCTGTGTGTGAGTAAGTCTGGACATGAGTAAGTCTCGTATGAGGAGACGAGAAGAGGAGGGGACGAGAAGAGGAAGGAGGAGGAGGAAGAGTAGGAGGCGTCCAAGTAATAACAAGAACCCCATCTTAGGATAGGGGGAACAATGTTCTTAGAACATAAAGCCGATGTGTCAAAACCAGACGGTCCCAGCCAGAAATGCTCTCAGAACAGTTCGTGCAGACCACAGCATGCTCTTAGAGCACTCTCTGGTAGGCCTATGGGCACGCCAGGACGCTTCGCCAGTGTTGAGGAGAGGAGGACGCGGGAGTGGAGGAGGAGGAGGAGGAGGAGGAGGAGGAGGAGGAGGGTTTCTCCATCTCTTTCGGGGGCGCTCCACAGCGGCCCCCATTGCTCTAGCAGCCGATACACGGCCTGCTGACCCACAACAGGGAGGGGTGGACACTGGTCCGTACCTTCCGTGTAAATCTTTGTGTCTAGCAGCGGCTCTCTGGCAAAAGAACAAGCCGCCCTCCCCCTCTGATCTTTTGCTGCCGCCTTGGCCCAGGCCCTCCGGGCCTTGGCGCTCGCGGACGGGAGGACAGGAGGACGCGGGAGTGGAGGAGGCGGCGTCCGAGGAGGAGCCGGTGGCTCGGAATCCGCAGCTACGAGCCGCCGCTGGCGACGCCTGGACGGCGCGGGCGGGCGCGCGCGCGCTTGCTGGCGGCGCATCCTTCCCAGCGAGCTCAGCGACAGTTGCCCGAACAGATGGCAGACAATCCACCCCGATGAAAGACCACCCCGACACGCGAGGCGAGCGAGAGCAAGCGGCACGGCCACAGGTCGGGAGGGTGGAACCGGGGACGAAGCGATCCTGTGGACGACGGCTGAACAAAACTGGACGCTGGTCCATTTCTCGAGGGTAGAAAATCCACCCCGATCATGACCACCCCGACATGCGAGGCCGTTTAGTAAGCGCACCCAGAGAAGGAATCGAACAAAGCAGGGCTGTTCAGTGAACGCCCAGAGCCGCTTCGTAGGCGCCAACTGTCGGGTCCGGGTGGTTCTCCCTCCCTGGACCGAAAAAGCCTCACAGCCGCCCGGAGCAAGCGCAGCCCCTCGCTGGAACGACCTGCTGGCAAGCCGCTGGGCCGCGGGCGCCGCCGGCAGGGACCCGCGCGCCGCCGCCGCAGCGCCCCGAAGCCTCCTGAAGACGGGAGCTATCGCTGCCCCCACCGCCTCCGCTGGCGGCCGCAGCCGCGGGCGGGCAGGTCGGTGCGGGCGCGCGGCCACAGCCTGTGCGGGGCGTCGCGCGGCTGAGGTTTGTTGAGATGGGCCTGTTTTCCACCACCACCACCACAAGTTGGAGGGGGGAAGGAGGTGGAGGACGAGGAGGAGGAGGAGGAGGAGGAGGAGGAGGAGGACCCCCTCCCCCTCCAACTAATGGTGGTGGTGGTGGAAAACAAGCCCATCATGTTGCCTTCCGAGCTGGTCCACCCTCGCGTTGCCCCTCAGAAGGGTGGGGGGGCAATAGCAGAAGGGAGGGTACGAAACCAGCCGCATGCAGCTGGTCTGGGCCCCGCCGGCAAGCGCCTCCCATGGACACATTGACCGCACGCGGCGACAGGAGGCGCCAGAAACCAGCTGCATGAGCTGCTTCGCTTGCCCCCCCTCGCCACGACTCCTAGCAGAGCTCATCGTCGCCCTCGTCGTGGTCAACGGAACGGTAACGGTTGGAAAGATGAAACTGGGTCTTCACGGGTTTTCTTATCTGATTCAGCGTCCTCGTCGTGGTCGTCGCGGTCGTCGACGTGGTGGTCGTCGTCGTCGTCGTCGTCGTCGTCGCTGTTGCAGTGTTCGTCGCAGTCGTCGCCGTCGCGGTCATCTTCGTCCTCCTCATTGTTGTCGTTGTCATGGTCGTCTCGGTCGTCCGTCGCGGCCGCCGCCTTCCTGATCGTCGTCGTAATTGCCGTCGTCGTCGTGGTCGCCGCGGTCGTCGCCCCTGTCGGCTCCGTCTCAATGCTGCACATGCTTCTGATGTGCGGCTCTGGCCGCCAAGCAACCAAAATTGCTAGACCAAAAAGGCTCGTGACGGGGGGGGCTGAGCAAAGTGATCCTACCCCGTGGAGCTGCGTCTCTAGCCTGGCTTCCTCAAGCAGTGGCGGCAGAACACACAGGTGGGCTTTCCTGCTCAGCAGCAGGGGTTACCTCGAACGGTCTCTTCTGTAGTCCCCCCCTCGCTTCCCTCACACACTCTACAATTTTCAACATTTCAATACAACTCTTGTATTTCTTTTTCTCTCCCTCTCTCTGTCGCTGCCCTTTCGATTCACGAAGACACAGAAGCAGTGCAGAAGCGGCACCGGCCAGTGGTAGGGCGGGTAGAGGCAGTAATCGTCGCATGGCGGTGACAACCTTACTGAAACAAGGGAAAGACACCGGTGGTTGAGTCAAACAATTATAAGAAGAAGCAAGGGGAGAGCACACTATCTAGGTTCGGGCGCAATGGCACTCTGTGATATCGCGATGGGCAAGCGGCTCGTCAGTCTTGACAAAACACACGCGCAAATATTAACACCTACTATGCTGCGCCGAGCGCGTGCCAGTGCCCAGACCACTCAACAACGGCAGCGCAAGAAACAAGTCAAGTAAAGTGCACCATGAACGACAGAACGCCCAGGGAGATGGCGCTGCGCTTGAGGGCCTGATCACCCGCGAGAGGCCCGGGCCGAAAATCCTGGAGCTCGCCACCTCTCACCTCCTCCTACGCACTGTATCTTACGAGGCGGGGATCGACCCATCCGTATCGATGCCCTGGGACCCCAGGGGGCGGTGGATATGGACATGTTCGGGCCGTAAGAAGACCTGAATGTATCCGCATCCACCGCCTGCCCAGACCCCAGAAGACCGATCCCACTGGCGGTGGTGGTTATGGAGTAGCCCCCGCATCGGATGTACGTCCTCCACCCGCAGAGTCAACCCCTGGACCACCGCCAGGCGGCGTGCTTCGACCAGCATCTGGGCGGGAACCCGGCCGTTGCGACGAAAAAGCTCCTGACTCTTTGCCGAAATGTCCACTCCTCCTCCTCCTCCTCCTCCTCCTCCTCCTCCTCATCATCATCATCATCATCATCATCATCATCATTAGCATCAGCATCAGCATCAGCAGCATCATCATGATCATCATTATCATCAGCTTCATCAACATAATCCGCATCATCAGCTCCAGCATCAGCATCGGCATTGGCATCAATATCAGCATCAGCATCATCATCACCGCCACCACCACCACCACCACCACCATCATCATCATCATCATCATCATCATCATCATCATCATCATCATCATAATCACCACCACCACCACCACCATCATCAGCATCATCATCATCGTCGTCGTCGGCGGCGTCATCATCATCATCAGCATCATCATCATCATCATCAGTATCAGCATCAGCATCAGCATCAGCATCAGCATCAGCATCATCATCAGCATCAGCATCAGCATCAGCATCAGCATCATCAGCATCAGCATCAGCATCAGCATCAGCATCAGCATCAGCATCAGCATCAGCATCAGCATCAGCATCAGCATCAGCATCAACATCATCAGCATCAGCATCAGCATCAGCATCATCATCATCATCATCATCATCATCATCATCATCATCATCATCATCATCATCATCATCATCATCATCCACCACCGTGACGCGAGGCACCGACTGGAGTGACATTGGGTCCTTTCGATGTCTCCGCATTTATCATTGCAAATGCTTTTCATCTGGGAGGGGCCAATGGAGACAGTGGCGACTGTCCCGCCTGCCCCAAATCCGCTCAAAAACGGTCCCAGGACCCCTGCCGGGGTCCATCCTGACCCGTGTTGTCGAAGCGGGTCCAGCCGTTCGGGTGTTGCTAGAAGTGCCCCTGGCCCAAAGTGCCCCCAGGTTTCGAGCCCCTCGCTCCATTTTCGAGCCCCTGGGGCCCTCTGGGCCTCGTGAGGGGTGCTGGAGGCCATCTGGGCCACCCCGAGAATCCTGGGGGTAGCTTGGGCCAGGGGTACTTCTAACAACACCCGAGCCGTGGCGACGAGAACCCCCCTGGAGACCAAGACGATATCAACCAACAGGGCCCCGGTATGCCACGCGGATGCGCGCGGCGCATCCAGACCTCCCAGCCTCCGCCGTTGTCTCGACGCATGGGCCCCCGGACCTCGAAACCCCATCCCAAGCGCCGGCTCTTCGTCCTGGGGCGCGGAAGATTTAGACAGCTTGACGTAGGATGGGCCTGTTTTCCACCACCACCACCATAAGCTTGAGGGGGAGGGGGTCGTCCTCCTCCTCCTCCTCCACCTCCTCCTCCTTCTCCTCCTCGTCCTCCTCCTCCTCCTCGTCCTCCTTCTCTTTCCCTCCTCCAAGTTATGGTGGTGGTGGTGGAAAACAGGTCCATCAACAAACAGTGCTTACAAGGGATTCTTACTTGTCTTAACAATCCGGGGACCAGAGCCGACTTTTCGTCGCCGTGCCGCCCGTCGCCGTCGCCGTCGACGCCGCTCGGGGCCAATGGCGGCCTTAGCGGGGAAGTTGATACCCTTACGGTTGCAGACGGAGCTGTTAATTTCCCAACCGCCAAAAGGCAGCCGCTCCCGATTGCGGAACAGTGGATGTTAGAAGTTATACACTGATTCACCCTCTTAGTCATGTGGTGATACGACTGCATCAAGATGAGTTCTGGGAATTTCGGAGCTGGACCCCCCTCCCTGGCGCGCGGAGCGCGCCAGGGGCGGCGTCGGGACGCCGCCAGGGGGCCCCAGCGCCGATCCGAGGAATCCGCGCGGACCTCCGATGTCTATGTCATTCCATTGCTTGTCCCCCTATCTCTACTCCAAATCCTGGAACATCCCCTCCCCGCCTACCGGGCCCGAGCTGGACCGGATCACAAAGAATCGGATCACATCGGACACGGATCGGCTCGCGCCTGCATCGGCGCAGAATCGTACCGAGAACGGCTCCTCTGACATTGCGCATTCGGGCTCGGTCCCCCCGGAAGGCTGGAGAGGGCAGCGACCCGTGCCGGATCGGATCAGGTCGAGAACAGAAATGATATCTGGGGGTCGGATCGGATCGAACCAACCTTCGGGCCATAACACGGCTCTCCGGCGGCCGTTCGGGACGATCCGGGCACTACCGAGACGCTCTCGGCGAGGCGCAGCGGCTGGGAAGCATCCCGAGGCTGGAGAACAGCCGACAGCCTTCGAAAGCCCCCGAACACCTCTGAACTCAAATCTCGAAGCCCTCGAGACCTCCAAACACTAAACGCCCTCCCCTCCGGGGGGGCGGCGGCGGCGCGCTTCTGGAATGTCGGCTCCCCGATCGGCGTCTCCTGCAGCAGGAGCGACGCTTCCGCGCCTGCGGCCACGACGCCGTCGCCATGCCAGGCACCGCCGCCGCCGCCATCGCCGCCGCCGCCGCCACCCCCCTCGGCCACGCCCTCGTCCTGCTGCGGCCTGCTCCTCCTCCCCCCGCAGAAGGCAGAGGAGACCTCCTCACAGCAGCCATCCCGACGAGCGAAGCCCATCGGCGATGCGTCGGCGACGCGTCGGCGCCGTCGGCAAGGGGGATATTCATCTCCACACCAGGCCGCATCGCCGATGCATCGGCGATGCGGCGCGATCCTCCGACCCCATCAGCTCGGGCTCCATTTGGGAGGCCCAGGATAAATCGCTCCAGAGCGTTTCGGAACGCTCTCAGAGTGTTCCCCAGACCGCTCTGAAACGGCCGCGGCGCCCGATACTTGAGGCCTCCTAGATGGACTCCAAAAGATTATATAGATCGGGTCGGAGGATCGCGCCGCATCGCCGATGCATGGGCGATACATCGCCGACACATGGGCAATGCATCGGCGACGTCGGCGGTGCATCGGCGACGCCAGCGCGTAGAAAATCGGGGTCCACACCGCGCCACATAGGCGATGCATCGACGATGCGGCGCGGCTGCGGCCGCTGCCGCTGCTGCGGCGGCGTGCGGGCGCGGCTGCAGGGGCTCGCGCGCCCAAGGTGCTGCAAGGCGGCGCTTGCGGGGGGCATGCGGCCCAGCACGTGTTGGCGCTGCCTCGCCACTGTACGGCAGGTTAGTGCCGTGACGCCCCCCGTGTTGGTTTCTGACACCGCGTGGATCGGTCAACCTTTGAACGATCGGCGGCTTTTCAATCGCCCGATCGTTCTATGTAGGCCAATTCTGGGCCACTGGCGGTGTTCAACTTTGAACGCCCGCGGCAAGGTCGCCGCTGGTCGACGCGACGCGAACTTACCGTAAGTCATAAGGAGCCGAAATGCGCCCACAGTGGCGCAATCCACACCTTACCGAGCCGTCGCGACAGCAGGCACTACTTCAACGGTACTGGCTCGGGCTGCACCCCTGCTTTGCTCCTCCGCATTAAAAAATCATCGAGCGAATGGGGCATCAGACAGGGGCTTGCGCTTGTACGGCCCGTCGCCGCTGCGGGTGCGGCCGCGGGCGCGGCCGCGGCCCAAAGTCAGATCGAGGTAATGCCTTGATGACATGTCCGAACCCAAACCTCCAAGACAAATCTCGGACGCCCCACAGAACTCGAAGATATCTCAAGACTGGGGGAACAAACAGTGACATGAACAGAAAAACTCGTAGGTCCGCGCGGATTCATCGGATCGGTGCTGGACCCCCTCCCTGGCGCGCGGAGCGCGTCAGGGGCGGAGCCGGAGGCGCCGCCGGGGGGGGTCCACCGCCGATCCGAGAAACCTGCGCGGACCTCCGAGTTGTTATGTTTATGTCATTGTTCGGGGGTTACTAAAGGTACCCCTGGCCCAAGGTGCCCAGGGCGGAGCATCCTTGGAAATTATGGCGGCACCTTGGGCCAGGGGCACCTCTAGCAAACACCCGAATTGGTGAACGTTTGTTTTTATTCGGCGTTTCGACAGTGGGCGGAAGGGGGGGGGCTTGCTCCAGACCTCTGCTTAGTGCGACTGTTTGCAAGAGTGCTGCCTCTGGGGGCGACTCCACCAGCCTGAAACAGGCACCAAAAGCAGCCAAAATCTACTCCATGAGGGGGGGGAGGTGTGCGAGGGCCCGCGCCGATCCGCAAAACAACGAATAACAACAACAACTATCACTTGCTTGTTTCCCTCAAGACTCCCCCTCACGCATCAGTCAGGGGCCTGCGCATGTAACAGGCACGTCGCCGCCGCGGGTGCGGCCCCAGAGTTCGATCGGGGGAACGTCTTGACGACATGTTCGAACCAAAATCTCCCAAACAAATCTTGGACGCCCCATCGGAACTCGATAATGGAACCAAACGATTAAAATAAAAACTCTGGGGCGGACGATCAAAATAATATGTTCGCGGGCCTTCGCGCCACCGCAATAGCGGGGGGGCAAACGATTCAATAAACGCTTCCGGCGGCAGTAGCAGTCTTCCCCCCTCATTCATTCTGGGGCCCCTGGGACGGGGGGCCCAGAGTCAAATCGGAGGGCAACGCCCGTGTGACGGGTGACATGGCCGAACCCAAATCTCCCAACAAAAATCTTGGACGACCCCTGGGAACCCGAAGCACACCTCAGGACTCCCCCGATCCGGGCCCGGAGCGTGCTGCTGCCCGGGCGGCTAGCGGGCGCCGCTGCCGCCGCGGCGTGCGGCGTGCGGCGTGCGTGGGGCCGCGCGGCGCCCCGCGCGTGCCGCCCCGGCCGCGGGCGTGCCGAGGCAGGCGGCGGGGCACCCGGCGCAGGGGGGGGGGGGAGGGGGCAGGCAGCTCGTCGTCTACTCGTCGTCGTCGTCGTCGTCGTCGTCGTCGTCGCCCCCTTGGTCAGGCGGCTGGATTCGACCGCGGCCTGGCTGGCTGGCGCATCGGCCCGGCTGGCTGGCGGGTCGGGGCGATCGGGCTGGCTGGTCGGGCCGGCTGGGGCGGCGGGCTTCGGCGTCGGGGCTCAAGAGACGGGGGTCAATTCGAACGGGGGTCAGCCAAAGCGCCGGATCTTGCAGGATCCTGCAGGGCCAGGGCCGCATTGACCCGGGCTGTGGCACAGCATCCTGCAGGATCTTGCAGGATCATTCGCTTCTCCTCCTCCTCCTCCTCCTCCTCCTCCTCCTCCTCCTCCTCCTCCTCCTCCTCCTCCTCCTCCTCCCCCTCCCCCTCCCCCCCCTCCCCCCTCCCCCTCCCCTCCTCCTCCTCCTCCTCCTCCTCCTCCTCCTCCTCCTCCCTCCTCCCTCCTCCTCCTCCTCCTCCTCCTCCTCCTCTCCTCCTCCTCTCCTCCTCCTCCTCCTCCTCCTCCTCCTCCCTCCTCCTCCTCCTCCTCCTCCTCCTCCTCCTCCTCCTCCTCCTCCTCCTCCTCCTCCTCCTCCTCCTCCTCCTCCTCCTCCTCCGCCGCCGCCGCCGCCGCCGCCGCCGCCGCCGCCGCCGCCGCCGCCGCCGCCGCCGCCGCCCCCTCCCCCAGCTGCCGCCTCCTCGGGGGCACCGAGAAATAACGGTGCCGCTGCTCCTCGGACCTCTCCTGGGAGTGCGTTCCGGCCAGGACTCCGAGGCGGACCCAGCAGTGGCGACGAGGGCCTCCCAGGAGGCCCAAAGAGAGGGGGAAAACTGGGCAAGGGTCTGTCCTGTGTGGGTGCCTTTTCCTCCTCGGACTCCTGCTCCTCCAGCTCCACTTCTCCCTCCCCTTCTCCAGCTGCCACCTCCGAGGATGACGACAGCTATACACCCACAACGAAGCAGGCCAGGCCAGCCTGGGACCCAGGGTCGGCAAATGCCCCCCCTCCCTGGCCCAGGATCGGCATGGCCGGGATGTGTGTAGGTGTATAATTGGCGCCCTCCGACCTTCTGCTCCTCCCCCCCTTCTGCACTCTGCTCCTGCCTGCAAGGCAAAACATTCACGAGCGTACCCTCCCCCCCTCTCCCCTCCCCCTCCTCCTCCTCCTCCTCGACCTCCTCCTCCTTCTCCTTCTCCTCCTCCTCCGAAGTCATTCATCAATCGGGCATGGATTACTACGGATCCGTGGATCTGGCCCGGGGGCTCGAATTCACGGATTGGGGATCGTACACCCCGAGACATGAGACCAATGTCGCCCCATTCGGGCGCGGCCTGACCAATCCCTTCCGTGACGAGCGCCTTCTGTGACGTCCCCTTCGCTCTCCAGGCCTCCGACCGTCCACACACGGCGAAGCGAGGGAGACGTCACGGAAGGGGATGGTCTGCCAGGGATCGGTTAGGCCGCCCCTGACTCATGAGCGACGGAACGCGCCGATTCTTTATGGAAGCGGGACCCGTTGTAAACTTAGCTGCCCCGATACGCAATACGCAACCCGTAGCGTGTTGATACGGAGCTCAGCACGCACTCTGGAACCGTGGGTCTGACGAGATACGCTCGCGAAAACGTGGGCCAATACTATACGCTGAGCCAACGCGTCACGTATTGAAACGGACGCCAAGAGCACGGCACGCGCTGCGTATCTAACCGGGCGTATCGAGGCAGCTGAGGGCGCTAATCCACGCGCCTCAATCCATGGCTGCGCTTCCCAAAACCCATCCGTCCTCCTCCTCCTCCTCCTCCTCCTCCTCTTCCTCCTCCCCCTCCTCCTCCTCCTCCCCCTCCTCCTCCTCCCTCCTCCTCCTCCTCCTCCGCCTCCTCCTCCTCCTCCTCCTCCTCGGGCTGCTGGCCCTCCAGGCAAGCCGACCCCTTTCCAAAAGACCGCGTCTGCGCCCCAAGCTCAGCCCGGCCTGGCCCAGCGATCCGTACAACAACTCCAGCTTCGGGACAGCACGGGCCCCCGAACCAAGACGACGCCAGGACGAGGATAACATCGGGCGAGGATGAATCGAAAATCTCTGAGATCCAGCGGTTCTGGAGAGATGTCTCGGGCGCCGCGGCATTCTCGGAGCGTTCCGGAACGCTCTGAGAGAGTTCCGCAAAGCTCTGGAACATATTCATCCTCGTCCTAGCCCCGTCCGACGAACACCGCTGGAGGCCTTCCACACTGGGTCCCAGTAGACGAGGTCGAAGGATCGCGCCGCATCGCCGATGCACTGGCGCTGTCAGCGTGGGGACAATCGGTCCCGTGCTCCGGGACAGCACGGGCCCCCGAGCGCCACGATCCGCGAAACCGTTCCAGGCAGCGATCTGCCCGAGCCGCCGAAGAGGCGCTCGGCCACGGCCACGGCGCGAGGCCACCCCGAGGGCACCGAGCGGCTCCCGAGCCCAGCTCGTCCATAGGCCCAGCTCCTACGCCACGAAAATATATGGGCGATTCCGGAAACCCTGAACCCAAAAGCGTTTTCATCTCTTGGAGGCGCATTCTCTGCTTCCGCCGCCTTCCGCCGCGGAAGCGATGACAACTTCTTCGATCATCGAAGGCAAAGCCACTTTTGGAACGCCCCATACAGTGGAGGCATCTCAGATGGGGTCCGAATAGATGGGGCCGAAGGATCGCGCCGCATCGCCAATGCATCGCCGATGCATCGGCGACGTCGGCGTGGGGAAGCACGGGCTCCACATCTAGCCACATCGTCGATGCATCGGCAATGCGGCGCGATCCTCCGACCCCATTGAATCTACCCCGACCACATCTAGCATGCCTAGATATACACAACCACCCTCTGACACATGTCCCTTCAGGGAAGGGACGGTAAATAAAGTCTCCGGCTCCCAGCGGTGATTGATACACCGCCACCCTCCCAAGAGGCCCAGGAGCAATCCCGCGGAGGGTATGTATGTATATATATATATATATAACCAAAAAATGTATATATATTTTTGGGGGGCAGAACTCCAGGGGATCCTGCAGACTGCGGCCCGCGAGGATCTCTTGGATGGGCGCTGGACCCCCCTCCCCAGCGCGCGGAGCGCGCCAAGGGCGGCGCCGAACCACGTCTGCGTGGAGACCCGTCGCACAGCCACCGGGCTGCCAGGAAGGGGCCCTGTGCTGTCCACGGCGGGGGAAGGCCACAGACAGGTTGCACGAGCACAAATCTGAAGAGCGGACGAGGAGGAGGAGGAGGAGGAGGAGGAGGAGGAGGAGGACGAGGGGAGGGAGGGAGGGAGGGAGGAAGGGAGGGAGGGAGGCAGGGGGCCCGAGCACCCGAGCTTGGGGCAACCAAGAAGCACCAATACCGCTGCTCCCCAAGCCGCTCCCAGGGTGCGTTCTGACCGGGACTCCGAGGCGAGTCCATGGGTGGCGACGAGGGCCTCCCGGGAGGCAAGGGAAAGGAGGGAAGGGTAGCGGTCTGGGCACCTACACACCCGACGTCATGATTTTCCCATGACGTCGACCCCCAGAGGTCTCAACACATTCCCCGGGACTAGTTTTTCGTCCTGGAGCGTCTCTTCACGGTCCCGAGGCCCGGTGAGGGCCCCAAGAGGCCGAACATAGCGAAAAACCTCCCGGCGTGATTTTTGTCGGGACTCGATGGGGGTCTGGACACCCGAACTCCCAAGCGGTCCTCACTCCAGCGTCTTGACTGCTCACCTGCGCCTGCCGCCCCGCCCGCTCTGAGCCCCCGCGGGGCGCACCGCGGCGGTGCGGAGGAGTGAAGGGCGCGGGCCCGTCCGGGCTCGCTCCTGGATCGGCAGCGGGGCGGGCACGGGTGCCCTCCTCCTCTTCCTCCTCCTCCTGCAACTCCTCCTCCTCCTCTTCCTCCTCCTCCTCCTCCTCCTCCTCCTCCTCCTCCTCCTCCTCCTCCTCCTCCTCTCCTCCTCAACCTCCTCCTCCTCCTCCTCCTCCTCCTCCTCCTCCTCAACCTCCTCCTCCTCCTCCTCCTCCTCCTCCTCCTCAACCTCCTCCTCCTCCTCCTCCTCCTCCTCCTCCTCCTCCTGTCCTTTCCCTTGACACCACAGCGCCGCCTTCAGCGGCGCCCGTGTGGCAGTCGTTGCCCCAGGATGGGGCGCGAGGCACGAAGCACTCCCCTGCTGCAATGCGAAGGAGTTTCTGTTACCATCCTGTTGGTTCTCGCGAGCCGACGCACGTCGACGCTAGTCGACGCTGAATCGACGCGCGTCAATGCTACATTGAAGCTCGCACATCGACTGCCAGGAGCTGATCGACGCTAGGTCACCCTAAAGACGGCATTGCGGGAGCACACAAGGCTCCCATGACTTGCTACCGCAGACATCCCCCGCCTCCTCCCGCTGCCGACAAGAAGGGGAGGAATTCGGATGCAAACTTCGGCCTCCGGGGGCCTTCGCCAGCACCCCGGGGCCAACAAAAAAACGGCTCAGGATAACAATCGTGTTGCGTGGACACGACCCCGATGTGAAACAATCACGACGTCGGTGTTGTGGGACCGGCGCGCTTGTAGGCAGGTGATTGTCTTGCACCTTGCGCGGCGCTTGCCGCGCGCCTACTCTGCACTGGATTGGGCTAGCGGGGGCATGGCGACCCCAATCTCCGACTCTGCGGAGTCCCCAGTGAAAAAGAGAACACATCAATATCTCTCTCTCTATGTATATATACATGTATGTATGTATGCATGCATGCATGCATGTATGTATGTATGTATGTGTACGTACATGTACATTATATATATATGCCATTTACCGCATACGATGTGCGTGGGGGCCTCTGTCATCGAAAGGGGCGCGTCCGAACTGCACTTCCGGGGGAGTATCCCGAAGTTTCCCTTCTTTCCTGGGCGGCCTGTTTTTGAGCGGGGGGGACTTGGGGATTGGGTCGAGAAATTGCGTGCTCGACGAAACCGAACAGAGACAGAGATACTGCGAAAGCAGAGAAAGACACAAAACAACTGACAAAGGATACATGTTGACCTGGGCCCAACGACCATCCTTCAGGAACAAAAGACCCTCGCCGGCAAAACAAGCAGAACATCCAAGGGCTTCCTCATCCAGGGTACATATAAAAAACGAGGGTCTCCTCAACGAGCCGCTCTCGATCGTGCACTTCGGTCCGACTATACAGTCTGCGCGGCTCAAGCTTCAGCGGCCGCGCTACTCAGTTCTCGACGACGCCGTGACGCAACTGGCTTTGCGCTGTCACGGCGCAGGCGTCTAAGCAGCACTGAGCGCTTTCGTTTCCTGGGCACGCGCAGTGGCGACGGGGCAGCTCCCCGCGCGCCCAAGGTGAACTCAACCAAGCTCTATCGCACCGGGGAGTTCCTTGGCCTCCCTTCGGGAGACCTCGCGCAGTTCCCATATCTGAACAGTGCCATCATCCTTGCGCGTCCGGTGGGGGCCTCTCATCATGCTGCTGCAAGACACCCTCGACACGTCTGTCGCAGCTGCCCCTTGCACAATTCTGTCAGGGGCCGGGACTTCGGGCCAGAGCACCGGTCTGCGCGAGCAGAATGTGCATGCGCGCCACAAGCCGCGCGCAAACGCGACCTCCACGAGGTCCCCGGGTGGGGGGCCAGGCGCCCCAATGCTACGTCGTGGCTCCGACGGTCGGGGGCGAGACGCGGCCGCGCCAGCAGCGGCAGCATCTGCAGCAAGAGGCCCAGCAAGAGGCAGAATGTCAGGCGGGGGGGGCGGCCACAGGAGCACTTATCGCCGGCCTCTCCAGGCCCTCCCCAGACCTGACCTGGACCTCCAGCCCTGCGGGCCTCCTAACACTGGATTGCGCAACGTCAACCTCATTCGGCCCCGCTACCTGCTCGGCAACGCCGCTCTGGGCCGCTCTGGGCCCCGCCGCGGAGGCTCAGGGCGGCCTCTAGGTCTGCATGGAAATCCGCCCTGAGCGTGCCTAGCGGCTCCCAGGACGCGGCCAAGGCTGTGCCTGCCGCCCGTCTCTGAATGTTCATCGCCGGCCAAGTGGGTCGGGGCTCCTTCAGTCTCCCGTAGACTCGACAGCGCGCCGGCATCCCGCGGTCGAGCGAGCGCCACAACGCAAGCATCTCAGCAAGGTCTCATTCGCACCAGTGTCACGTCGTCCGATTGGCGGAGCCACGTCAACTTCAGCACCCACCACCGCCGGGCCACCCTCGCCCCCGACGCTAGGATCAAGCGGCGCCCGAACGGGGGCCCCACTCCCGCGTCCGTTTATCGCGCTGGCCTCATTTCGACAAGAGGCTCATCAACGCAGTCGACAGCCGCCGCCGCCGCCAACGCCACGGCCGCTGCCGTGGCCAGTGACGCAGCAGGCCGCATGCCACCGCTGTCCACGCACTCGCGCTGCCGCTCCGCCCGGGCCCCGAAGAGGCGCCCCGCGTCGCCCGCGCCGTCGCCGAGCCCGCCATCCCCATCAAAACTTGCGACGCTGACCCTGCGCCCGTGCCCAGCTGCGACGAGGCGCGCTGGCGCCACGACCAATCCCCGTCGTTCGCTCTCTCACGGTCAGACAAATGCACCCCACTCCGCCCGGCGTTTCCTCAGCGCGCACTCGCCCTGAAAGCGTTCACCGCGCGCGCCAAATCCACGACCAAGATGAGCACAGCCTGGACGGACGTCCTCCCACTTCTGCTCCCCGTCGGCCAGCGCCCTCTCGCGGCCCCGCCACCTGCGCGGCCCACTTCGCCGCCTGGCCCAGCGGCTTGCTGCCGCACTGAACGATTCCGAATGAAACCCATGGCTACCCTCTTTCGCGCGCGCCTTGATTTTGCTGATCTGGAATCCATCCAGCCCCAGGCACGTCCAGCTTGTTCCATATTCGCTACCACGCAACCTCGTTCACCCATCTCGGCGACGCGCGCCACCAGCTGCCTCTCCCGATGCCCCCGCCCATTGATCCGCAGTCTGCGGCAAGCGCCAGCGGTCCGATAGCTCGCCCAAGTCCTTGCCATAACGCACGCAGCTCCGCCCTGCCCACTAGTCGATCCCATCGAACATGGCACTATACCACGCCCCCAGCTAACTACTGTTCTGGGTTCTTCGTCATCACCATCGCAACTTCCATCTTTTTCACCTGGCCCGCAACAACTCCCATGGGCAAACTGGCCCGCAAGTGCGACCACCCATGCGCCTTCAGGATATCAGCGCAGGCGTCTGCGCCGCCCGCGAATAGGCAGCCGCTCATCGACATATATCATCGTTGCCCGCGACCTCTGCTTTGCGGTAGAAGTACCTCTCGCGGTTATCCTGTTCGTCATTCTCTGGTTCCATGACCGGGCGTCCAATGATGCCATGTTTGAGCAACTTACTGTCAGTCTGGGCCTCTCGCCCCATGCACCCCCGCGGTGTTCTTCTCCTCGGCCTGTTTTCGCTGCTCGCCCCGCTGGATGGAACTCCTGAACACGCGCCTTTGGGCACCTGCCGCCCTGCCACGAGCCTGAGACATGAACGCGTTCGGCTGACCTCGTTGGCGAACGCTGGCAAGCGTGCGTGACCGTAGTCGAATCAGTCGCAGTATTAGTAGTAGTAGTAGTAGTAGTAGTAGTAGTAGTAGTAGTAGTAGTAGTAGTAGTAGTGATAGTAGCAGTCGTCGAAGTAGTAGTACTAGTAGTACTAGACGTAGCCGTAGTAGTGCCTAGTGATACCTAGTAGTAGTAGTAGTAGTAGTAGTAGTCGTCGCAGTAGTAGTAGTAGTAGTAGTTGTAGTAGTAGTAGTAGTAGTAGTAGTAGTCGTAGTCGTCGTCGTAGTGGTCGCAATACTCGTAAGTTAACTAATGGTGGTGGCGGTGGTAGTAGTAGTAGTAATAGTAATAGTAGTAGTAGAAGTAGTGGTAGTAGTAGTAGTACTAGTATTAATACTAGTACTAGTACGAGTACAAGTGCAAGTACTCGTCCTAGTAGTTGCGTTAGTAGTAGTAGTAGTAGTAGTAGTAGTAGTAGTAGTAATAGCACTAGTAGTAAGAGTCGTAGTAGTAGTAATAGTATGAGTAGTAGTAGTAGTAGTAGTAGTAGTAGTAATAGTAACAGTAGCAGTAGTAGTAGTAGTAGTAGTAGTAGTAGTAGTAGTAGTAGTCGCAGCAGCAGCAGCAGTAGTAGTAATAGTAGCAGTAGTAGTAGTAGTAGTAGTCGTAGTAGTAGTAGTAGTAGTAGTAGTAGTAGTAGGTCGTAGTAGTAGTAGTAGTAGTAGTAGTAGTGGTGGTGGTAGTAGTAGTAGTAGTAGCGATAGTAGTAGTAGTAGTAGTAGTAGTAGTAGTAGTCGTCGTCGTCGCAGTAGTAATAGTAGTAGTAGTAGTAGGAATAGTAGTAGTAGTACTAGTAGTAGTAGTAGTAGTAGTAGTAGTAGTCGTAGTAGTAGTAGTGGTCGTTGTCGCCGTCGTCGTGTCAGCAGTCGTAGTAGTAGTCGTAGTAGTAGTAGTCATAGTAGTAGTAGTAGTGGTAGTAGTAGTAGTAGTAGTGGTAGTAGTAGTAGTAGTAGTCGTCGTCGTCGTAGTATTAGTAGTAGCAGTAGTAGTCGTCGTAGGAGTAGTAGTAGTAGTTGTTGTTGTTGCTGTTGCTGTCGCAGCTTCTTCAGAGGCTCTTCAGAAGCTTGCCAGAAGCTTGTCTGAGGCTCCCATAATATCTGGAGAAGCTACTCATAAGCTCTTCAGAGGATCTCCAGAAGCTCTGCGCAAGTCCTTCAGAGGCTCTCCAGGAGCTTTTGAACAGCTCTTCAAAAGCTCACCAGAGGCTTGTCAGAAGCGCGTCCGAGGCTCTTCAGAAGCGCGTTGGAGGCTCTTCAGAAG